ATGATGTCATCCCTGGAGTCAGAGGCTGCGATATTAGCGAGATGTCACCAGGGCGGTGCTGAGTCCAAATTTAAGGCCTTCATTTTGCAGTAATTTAAGGGCAACAACCATCCATTGTGTACCCTGATTTTGACCCTTCCCCATATGGAGGTGCACGGACATACTGGCTGTGCCCTGTACAGTACTCTTCTGGAAATTTGTTTGCACCTTCTCGTGGATACGGCACCAATTAAGCATCCATTTCCATTCATCGTAAACCAGCCTACGACACTGGTGTTTGACTTCCGTCCGGCACATTGCTGGTGTGATGGACCCGGACATCTACTTCCTGACAGCTCACATGGCAATCTTGGCAAATGATCGGCCCTTGAAGTTATCGTTTATCATTTTCATGCCTAGTCACGGCGGATTCTCTTCCACTTAGCCGAGCCCATCAGCATTCACAGGTCAAGGCGGCCGAAACGGCCAGCGCGCCACTGCTGGAGAAGGGAGGCGAAGAGTTCTTGGAACCTCGGGCTGCAGATATTTTCAGCTGCAAGCAACAACTACGGCAAAGGGATTTGAAGCAACAACAACAACAACAAAAAGGGGAAATCCATGAAGCCCCAGGTGGCTGCTAGCTTGAGAACACTAGCAGTGGCTTTGCAGAGCTATGGCAAGGAGAAGGGTTGGGGTGCTCAGAGGGGCGAGGGGATGGGGAAGAGGACAGCTTTGGGCATGAGGCCAAGAAGCTCAAGAAGCTCAAGAAGTGCAAGAACTTGGAGCTTGAGATGGTTTGGATATGTTTGGATATCCCTTCCCCAGTCTTGTTTCCCCCAAGTCGTTCCTGGTTTCCATGAGCCAAGTCCGTGTTGCGACCCCTGAGGCTTGGACTTGGAGGGTCTCTTTCAGGAAGCTGGCGGTGGCAAGGCCATCGGTGAAGCGGCCCCTTGACGGATGGGCAGGGATCGAAAGCTGGGGTTGCTATGGAAAATGGGGAAAATGGATCATTTAGATGATTTATCGATTTACCTGGAAAAGATGGTGATTTTCCATACGTAGCTATGTTAAATTACCAGAGAGTAAGTTTGTTTATGTTCAGGTGAGTGTGTGTGATATTTTTTCCCGATTGAGCTTCAGGATGGAAAAGCAACCAAATTACTAATGGAATGTTGTGGCTGAAAAGGACAATTGTGATTCTAGTGAAGCACTTGAAGTGGATGGGGTAGAATGAAGAAGCAAATGCAGCTGATCTGGTCAGCTTGGCAATGCTCATGCATGAGCTCGGTTGTGAGGATATAGGCTGTTGCTGATTGTACACGTCCACACGCTTGACAATCTAGAAACCCAACCTTTTTCTATGATGGCAAGCGTGAGCTGCGCTCAAAACTTGCGTCCAAAGGCATCCATGCCGAACACTAGCCACCAGAAATTCGTTATGACTCAGAATCATCAGGGTCTCCAAAGATCACCCATGAGTTTCTCATCCACACAAAGGGCCGGTTTCCAAGCGTTGGCTCCCAAGGATTTCGTGACCTACCTGGAGAAATTACCCGAGGCCGAGCCGTTTCCCGATGTCTGAAAATGATGGCAGTCAGTCCTGCCACACCTTCCAGGTGATTGGACATCCGGAGGTGGAATTCAACGAGGACTACCGGGTGTTGTGGCTTTTTCATGCTTTTTCCATCAGCGGATGGTATCATGATGTTTCAGCAATCCAGTGGATCTGGGCCCTGGGCCTTAGCTAATGCCAATGCCATGCGGTCACCTTCTCCTTCTTTCGCTTGCAGCTGGCGGCTCAAACAGTTTCTAGTTCCACGTGTTCCGACGATAGGTCGGGACCTCCCCATTTTTGGTTCATGTCGGGGGAGGGCAAAGGCAAAGGATGGGGCAAACGAAGAGATGACCAAGCAGGCGCAAATCCAGGGTGGTTGGACCTGAGTTGGGTACTTAGATGTCGTCCTTTATGATATGATATGATATGTTAAATGGCTTCACTGGCTTCACTGACCCATAGTTGGTGACCTTCGTGCTCAAAAAAGATGGTTCAAGGATTTGCCGGCCTGAACTGGGTAGCCATGGCAACCGGGGGATTGCCCTCCCACTTTGGGATTTACTTGTCTCTCCACTAAGAAAATGAAGCTTCGGAAGTTCATCAAGCATGCTCTGGAAACTGTTGGATATCATTTTTCCGTATTCTTCTTTCGCTTTGTATTCCAAGAGGGGTTGCCCTTTATGAACCATGATAGAGCCATGGAAATTGTGTCAAGTTGCAACAAGGTTGCCTTCACCAAGCTCGCGATTTTGGGATCCTGGAATTTCTTCTCAGGATGTTGGAAGACCAGGAACCCCCAGGAAAACCATGGTAAAATTGAGTGGGATCAAAGCCAAGCTTCCCTCAAACTGGAAGGGTGAACCCCTTTGGGTTCCCTGCAAGACATATTTCATCAACCCATCGGCATAGGAAGTGAAGAGAAGATTCATCAGTACAGACACTCGCTGGAGAGCGGCTACAGTCTAGCGACCCAGATGTGAGATGTGGACTTGGTCCCCCGGACGTTGGGTCCATTTACTGTAAGACATGGAAAATCTGGTGGAGTGCAGCCGAGGATGGGGTCAAAGTCAATTGCCCCATGTTTTGCTGAGAACATCAACTCCCCATCAACTCCCCATCCATCAATGGATTGTTTTTATTTCTTGATGTTTTTTGATGTTTTTTGCATGGAAAGGCAAGGTTCTCACAGTGTGTTTTGTCCTTTTTTTCAATGTTTAGATGTGAATTCCCTTCTGAGATGCTGAGCAGAGTGAGGGTGACCTCATGAGCGTCAGGGGCTCCCAGCAAACAGCGAAAAGGGACCATGTAAGGATGCTTTGCCGCGGTTTGCCTATAAAAATTGTGTTTTTGCATATCAGTTAGCGGCACCGGGGATGGAGACATACAATGTGCTTTGAAGGGATTTTGACGATCATCCAAGCAGTTTTATTCAGGGGTTTGATCTTGTCAAGTGAAGGTCGAGATGGATGCTTTGGTCTTCCTGCAAATCATGAAGCACTGTAGGCCTGGCTCCAGCTGACTGGTCTACAAAGATCAGTTCAGAATCCACGAGGAACAATTGGAGCTCCATTTTTTGCAGGTTCACTGATTCACACTTTGGACTTTGCCCCTCATTTTGGTCCGCAATATCCCTGAGCCAGCATACTAATGGCTGACTCAGTTCCTTTGTAGCATTGGTTTGCTATCTACGTATGTACACCAGATCTCCCAGGTGGGTTGGGACCGGGCAGGCAACATGCACCGCAGCCAGTGACAGGACGGTAATGGCATGTGATCACATTGGGAAGCGCGAGTGACCCTGTGGGTCCATGTCCATGTCTGCCTTTCCACATCCACATCGATGGCCGGATGCCAAATCGTCACACAGCATTGAGGTCATAATGGGTCATCATACCTCCCCTGAGGGTATACACCACTTCAGAAACCCCACTTGCGGATGGTTTATGGCATTGGGCTTACCTCATCAAAAACCAGCGAATTGCACAGGACAGCTTCTGGGGATGGATGTGGGCAATGTGCTGCAGCTCACCCACTCCTTTGGCTATGTGCAAAAAGGCCAGTACAGAACGGACGGTTGAATGCGATTTAATTGTAGAGAATATATAATTATCATAGAATATGTTGATTTTTTTGTATATTTTGTTCTGATAGTTTCTTGGAGACAATTGCACCACCACTTTTGGGACACATTCTTTGATTTACTAGATTTGCTGATTGCATGTTTGCTTTCTGAGGTTCGATTCTCACAGCCAAATCTATGCAAATCAGTCTTCTTACAACTTGTGAGTGGGAAAATGATTGATTTTCGCATGCCGGCCAAAGCTGACATGTTTGTAGACTGGACACCCACTCATTTCTTCCTTGCCTGGTGGAAGGCTTCTTTGCCCATTCACTCTTAGTGATGCAGGCAAAGCTAACGAACACAAAATAGGCAAGTGCATGCAAGTGCCAACTAACATAGCTATGGTTAGCATGTCTTCATCTTACAGCCCGTGGCCGAGCGGTTTGGAATTCGAATCTCTGACCCTAAGGTGCAGAGACAGAGACTCAGGGCCAGATCGATGAGGTGAGATTTTTCTGGGTGAAATGTCATGACAGGTCCAAAAGAAACTGCATTTTCTGGCAGTCGCAGTCCATCTTGTGTAGGAACTTCGCGTTTACCAACAAATCATGTGACAGGCGCTGACGCATGTCGTAGATTGAAATATGTTTTCTGATGTTTTATCATTTTATCATATCATTTTAATATACTACTATGTATATCTATGTATAATATTATAATCACGTCAAGAGGTTTGGAAAATTTGTCTCTCCCCTTGTCCTGAGCCAGGGTGTGCAGTTCCAGATGGACACTTTGCGCAAGCTCCGGGAGGTTGCTGTTGGCCGCCAGAACATCAATTCATGGGAACTGGGATGGCTTCACTGCTGTTCGCCGTGCTTTCCCTCACGTGTGACCAAATCCCAGACATTTCCGGGATTACCTATTCTATAAGTGTGAGACATCCCTATCTTTATGTGCCCCGTTTTCGTTTGTGCCTGGTCTTGTGTGGTTGCAGGTGAACGTGGATTCTAACACGGTGGGGTGGTACCAAACCACGCACCTGGGCCAGTGCGGAAGCCCAATGGGAGCCATGGCAGCATGGTGGACGAAGTCTACATCCAAAAACTGAGTGCAAATGGGTCCCAGTCAAAATTAGAGGCCATAGGAGTCATAGATTTGTTTTTGTTCATGTGTATGTATACAATTTCTATCATTACATCATTACATACTAATTGTAATATTGTCGTATGAATATATATATATACACATGCATACATTACATTGACTAAGTTAGATTTCAATATATTACATGACATTACATTACATTGCATTATATACATACCATTAATACATATCATTATTACATACCATTAATACATACCATTAATAATATTAATACATACCACGAATACATACCAGTAATACATACATGCACACCATTGATACATACATACACACCATTAATACATACATACACACCATTGATACATACATACATACACACTATTAATACATACATACACACCATTAATACATACATACATACCATACCATACCATACCATACCATACCATACATACAGTACATACATACAGTACATACATACAGTACATACATACAGTACATACATACAGTACATACATACAGTACATACATACAGTACATACATACAGTACATACATACAGTACATACATACATGCATGCATGCATACATCCATCCATCCATCCATACATACATACATGCATTCATACATACATACATACATACATACCATTAATAGATACATACACACCATTAATACATACATAGACACCATTAATACATACATAGACACCATTAATACATACATAGACACCATTAATACATACATACACACCATTAATACATACATACACACCATTAATACATACATACACACCATTAATACATACATACACACACCATTAATACATACATACACACCATTAATACATATACATACACACCATTAATACATACATACATACATACCATTAATATATACATACACACCATTAATACATACATACATACATACATACATACATACATACATAGAGTGTGTTTTAAGAGCGTGTGAAACTGAATCACTAATGACGTAAACGCTGGAGTCACTAAGAGCGTCATACATACATGCGTGCATGCATGCATATATATATATACATACATACACACACACATACACACAGACACATAGACACACATACATACATATACATACAGACAGACAGACAGACGGACGGACGGACAGACATATACATATATACATATATATATATATATAACAGGCATACATATATACATATATATATATATATATACATATACATATACATATACACATACATAACAGACATACATATATACATATATATATAGCAGACATACATATACATATACATATACATATACATGTACATGTACATGTACATATATATATACATATACATACATATATATATATATCTACCTCTCTCTCTCTATATATATATATATATATACACTTAAATTTTAACTGCGACAGGGCCAGTGTTTCTTGCATGTTGGTATTTTGGTGAAATGGCAACTTGGCTGACGAGACTTCTTTCCAAAACACAGAACCCTAGCTAGACCAACCCAAAGTAAGCCTTGAAAGTAAAATCAAAAGCATGGTAAAAACTCAAACAAACCCAAATGAAACCCTCCTAAACAAATCCTAAAGAGTTGGTCCCATGATAAACCTCTGGGCGGCACCCCCGGCATGCGGGTACAATATATATATATATACATACATACATACATACATACATACATACATACATACCTACGTACGTACGTACATACATACATACATACATCCATGCATACATACATACATACATACATACACACCATTAATACATACATAGACACCATTAATACATACATACACACCATTAATACATACATTCACACCATTAATATATACATACACACCAGTAATACATACATACACACCATTAATACATACATACATACATACATACCTACCTACCTACATACATACATACATACATGCATGCATACATACATACATACATACATACATACATACATACATACATACATACATACATACATACATACACACAGACATACATACACACATACACACACACATATACGTACACCAGTCTAATTCAACATTCCGGTGTTTTTGGGCCAAGTAGCTCCCAGGTTCATCAACAAGGATGTGATTCACTCACAGTGCTTGGCTCAGAGGGGTGGCGTATCGGAACGAGTCTTCGGATGTCCATGCACCGTGAATTTTCTGTTGAATATGGAATGAGTTCAACGTTACTTTGCCATTCACTGCGGCAATTTGATCTCTTGTAATTCTTGTAGACAAATTGCCTCGTGCCCTGTCCGCTGAGGCATGGTTTTCAGACCGAGATTCCTCGATCGGTGCTAGTGGTCTATGATTCACTACAGGAGGGGATTGATGTCTGACATTTCTGTGATCACGTATTGGTATTGCGCAAAATTGGATGCTTTGAGTCCTACAAATGGCACAAAATTGACCAAATGAATCCACATCCAAATGACCAAATGGGTCAATTGGCACCCCATCTTTCCACCATTCACCAGTCACCAGTCATAACTTCCTTTCCACCAGCTTCCACCATTAAGTCCCATTTTTCCACCAGTTCCAGTAGTTCCACCGGTCGCCGAACGCTGAAGCAGGCTGCAATTGGAAAGCCATCCTTCAAAGCACTTCAGCTCACCAAGGAGTTCATGGAAATGCCGCTGAGCCAAGCTGGTTGAATTGGTTGAACCCACCCGTTTTTGCCGCCAAGTTTTGTATCAGAAAAATGCCAACTTCCAACTTATGCAACTTGTATAGTCATTGAATGTCACTCATTGATGATTTATCGTCATCGATGAGATGGGCTGTGGTCAACCTCAACTTCACGGTGGTGCAGGGGTCTAGGGATGCCTGTGAGACGAAAGCATTGCTAGCGAAGACTGTTTGTTGCATCACTGTCCGGGGTTTCGTGGGGTTTAGTTGTTCTATATATCATGACATGTATATAAGTTTTTCGGAGCGTCTAGACAATGGAGGCGGGCTCATAGCAGGCTGATTTGTTTGGGATGCCCGTCTTGTTCTTGCCTTTCCATTTGCAACGACTGAGTTACATGGATTGGGAAGTCCGCTGCATTGACGGTTAGACGATCTTTACAACCAATGACCATTCTCCGCGGCAGATTGAGTTCTTCACAGAATCAGAAGGTCGCCAGGATTCATAACCAGAAACAACTATCATCCAGTGATTAAGTATAGTGTTGTATCTGTATATATATATATATATATAATGTAATGAGATAAACATCACCAATGCAGGCACGGCTCCTACTCGATCCAGTGGACGAAGATTCTGCAGTCCATTCTGAGGATGACTCCAGACCATACAACAAGATCCAACAAAATAAAACATATTGGATATACGATGATATCAGAATATTGATATCACTGTGGAAGACAATATTGAAACACATTGATACATGTATGTGTATATATATATACACACACACACATAAGGACAGCTTATATTTTGCTACAGAAACTTACGCTTCATCTTGGGTCGGCATCACCATGGTGACCATTCGCGAAGCCCGCCGCGTGCTCCGCTTGCGGCGCTGCGTTCGCCCGCTGCTGGTGGTGACTGCTCTGGCGGCTTCGCAGAGCTTTGTGGCGCCAATCACCCAGGCGGAAGCAGAGGAAACTGATGCCAATTTAATAATTTAACGAACAATCATGGGGATGAGAACATAGGATAACATGATTACACCTTCAGAAAGCGGAACAAAGCCATATTGGCGAAATGTCTCCAAAGATCGGAATTTCCAGATTCTTTTGCTCCAGATTAGGCAGCGAGCTGCCGCGCCTGATGTTATCCCTTATCCTTCAATCCTGTCCTAATTTTCCATCATAAAATATTGGGAATTCACCCTGTAAGAAATGGGGACCCTAAAATGAGTAGATACAATTCTGAAAACAGAGTTTCTGGAACTTTACTAATTACAGATAATCCGGTGGATGATGGAAAAGGAAGGAGCCCCATCCAGAACAGTATATGTTTCGTAGTGCCTTGCGAAACTTAGCACAAACGAAGGGAAATCCACAAACAACTTAGAGCAGCTTGTGGGCAAACCATTGGGTGAAAGTGAAAGGTGAACTGACTTGATGGGCAAAGGGGTGTCCAATTTCCCATCCATTTTCAACCAAGCAACTATTGCAGAATACTTGTCTCACGATATCATTTTTTTCCACCACAATCATACTTTGAGGCTGGCCATGCCAGCCATGCAGCTGTTACGCCGCGGGGCCGTGTTTCGAGCGCCGCCGTCACCGGCGATGCTCAGTGGTTTAGGCAGGGGTCCCAGGGGCTCTTGAAATCCTTGTGACTAGCAAAAAAACACTTGGATGTGGGTCAAAACCCTGTACCCCCAGTGAACCTCAAGGTTGATGGTCATCCCTTATACCACATGATTAGTAGGTTTTGACCCATCCCCACTTAGGATGATCAACTCTTGCTGTGCTCCGATTCAAATCTCAACCGTGTGACCTGGCCATGCAGGTCAGAGACTGGGGGCGTGGCGTTATTGAATGTGGTGACGATGCTGTTTGGAAGTCACTTGCAATTTGCGGAGCCCGCAAGTTTTCAGACCATTTGTACCTGAAGTGAGCAGGACAGAATGGACATGGGGTATTTGTGAGTAATCATGAGTAATTTTTACCATTTGCTAAATAAGCTTTCCTCGTGGCAACTTCCAAGCGAAGATGTTGCTCCGCAGATTCTCAGGTTGATTCTGCACTTGAGAGTTACATTCCAAAAAGGACAAAGAAAGGTTGGCAGGAAAACTTGCAGAATCTGATTGTGCAGAATCAGATTGCACCGGTTTTATGGGTGATGTGGTGTGGTAGTAATTAGCATGGGTTTCAGTGCTTGTGCCATATTGCGGACACAACACAGGTTGGCAACTGCGAAGGGAAGAAGAAGAAGAAGAAGAAGAAGACGAAGAAGAAGAAGAAGAAGAGGCAAATAGAAGAGGCAAATAGAAGCATCGTGATACATTTACATATTTTTTTCGCGGCAGGTTTTGTTTTTTTTTGAGTTCCTGTTTCTCTGTTTTTCTGATTTTCTGCTTTTATGCTCTCTGCTTTTCTGCTTCTCTGCTTACATTGCTTCTCTGCTTTTCCTGCCTTTCCTGCTTTTCCTGCTTTTTCTGCTTTTCCTGCTTCTCTGCTTTTCCTGCTTCTCTGCTTTTCTGCTTTTCCTGCTTCTTTGCTTTTCTGCTTCTCTGTTTTCCCTGCTTCTCTGCTTTTGTACTTCTGTGCCTTTCTACTTCTACTATTCTACTTTTTCTTTTTCTTCAGTCATGTGTTTTTGCTGCTCTACTTCCTGCTCCTTTGCTTCTTTGCTTCCTGTCTTTACTGTCTCTTTGTTTTTCATTTTGCTTTATTCTGTTCTGTTTGTATCCTAAATGAAACCTTAGAGAGACCCTAGGTGAAACCCAAAGAAACCCAAAAGAAATCCTAACAAGAAACCCTACAGCCCTAAATGAACCCTAAAGAAACCATAAATGAACCCTAAAGAAACCATAAATTAATCCGAAAGGAAACCATAAATGATACCCTAAAGAAACTTTAAATGACACCCTAAATGACATCCCAAAGAAACCCTAAACAACAATCTGAAAAAAAAACTAAATGAAACCTTAACTGACACCTTAGCTGAAACCCTAAATTAACACCCTAAAGAAACCCTAAATGAAACCCTAAAGAAACCCTAAATGACACCCTAGAGAAGCCCTAAAAACTAAATGAAACCCTAAAGAAACCATGAGACCCTAAATGAAACCCAAACTGAAACCCTAAAGAAACCCTAAATGAAACCCTAAACAAAACCCTAAAGAAATCCTAAAGAAACCCTAAATGAAACCCTAAAGAAGCCCTAAAGAAACCCATTTGAACGTTTAGAACTCCTGATAAGAAATCCCAATAAGAGACCCTACATGAAACCGGAAAAAAAACCCTAAATTACTCTACTTCGTGTGATCCCCACCATGACATGTCAGGACGTATATTTGGACATATATTTAGTATATTCTGACATCCTATCTGACATATATTCTGGCATATATTCTGGCATTCTATCTGGCATATATCCTGACATTCCACCTGGCATTCTATCTGGCAGTCTATCTGGCACTCTACCTGACATATTTTCTGACATTTCATCTGACATATATTCTGGCATTCTACCTGTCATTTATTCTGACATATATTCTGGCATTCTATCTGACATATATTCTGGCATATATTCTGGCATTCTATCTGGCATTATATCTGACATATATTTTGGCATTCTATCTGACATATATTCTGGCATATATGTTGGCATTCTATCTGGCATTATATCTGACATATATTCTGGCATATATGTTGGCATTCTATCTGGCATTATATCTGACATATATTCTGGCATATATTCTGGCATTCTATCTGGCATTATATCTGACATATATTTTGGCATTCTATCTGACATACATTCTGGCATATATGTTGGCATTCTATCTGGCATTATATCTGACATTCTATCTGACATTCTATCTGGCAGTCTATCTGGCATTCTTTCTGGCATTCTATCTGGCATTCTATCTGGCATTCTATCTGGCATCCTATCTGACATTCTATCTGGCATTCTATCTGGCATTCTTTCTGGCATTCTTTCTGGCATTCTATCTGGCATTCTATCTGGCATCCTATCTGACATTCTATCTGGCATTCTGTCTGGCAGTCTATCTGACATTCCTACATGAGGTCCGGCAGGGAACACTTGGCATGGATACTCGCGGTTGAGGTCCGGCAGGGAACACTGGACGCGGATGGTCGTGGTTAAGGTCCGGCAGGGAACACTGGGCGTGTATGGTCGTGGTTGAGGTCCGGCAGGGAACACTGGGCGTGGATGGTCGTGGTTGAGGTCCGGCAGGGAACACTGGGCGTGGATGGTCGTGGTTAAGGTCCGGCAGGGAACACTGGGCGTGGATGGTCGTGGTTGAGGTCCGACAGCGAACACTGTGGATCGCGAGTCGCAGTTGAGCAGGAGGACGAGGAGGACAACAAGAGGAGGAGGAGGAGAGGAGGACGAGGCAGGAGGAGGCGGAGGACGAGGAGGAGGAGAAGGAGGAGGAGAAGGAGGAGAAGGAGGAGGAGGAGGAGGCAACTGACATAAAATCTAACAACCCTCACCTGGCAGGTGGGGAATGAATTTCTAAAGAAACCCTAAGCCTAAAGAAACCCTAAATGAAACCGTAAAGAAACCCTAAATGAAACCCTACATGAAACCCTAAAGAAACGCTAAATGAAACCCTAATTAAACCCCAAATGAAGCCCTAATAAAACCCTAAATGAAACCTTAAATGAAGCTTTAAATTACACCCTAAAGGAAAGCCTAAAGAACCTTCAAGAGACCCACATGAACCTTTGAAGTACCAAAATGTATCAAATACCATGCAAATGAGAGGTTGAAATGCCAAAGTGTGACAAATACCATGCAAAATGGAAGGCGAACATGGCCAAATGTAGCAAATACCATGCGAAATGCAAAGTGACCATGCCAAAATGTAGCAAATACCATTCAAAATGACAGGTTCTAGTTCCAAACTGTTGCAAATACAAGGCAAATGGTACCAGGAAAGAAAGCCAAAACAAATTCCAAAAACTGAGGCAAAAAAAACACCAAAAACTATTCTACACCCTTTGCATATCATGATGCACGACATCTATACAGACATCATACGATATATACTCTAAATCATACACATTTACACATTTACACATATACATAGACACTAATATAGATACACATCGGTATCATTTCTATGTAATCTGTACATTTCTGGCAGCTCAAGCAGGTAATCAGGTGCTGATCAAAACCTTGGAGACGGAAGATGCCACCTCCGGGGCGATGGACAGTTTCATGTTCCTTGGCGAACTGGGACCCCGAAAGAATTGGGACCCCGAAATGTTGCGATCCACATGGACTCCGGGTTACCCTTTTATCCGTTTTTCTTCCATCGATTTTTTTGCATTTTGTTTTTTTTGGCATTTTCAGAGCCACTTGGAGTCCATGTCAAAACAAAAGCCTACCCAACTGGCCCAACCACATCCCAGACCAGTGAAAACAACTGCACCGCATCAGGATTTTTTGTGAATATTACTGGGATAATGGGATGGCAAAAGAATCCAGGCTTCAATTTGTGCCGAGTGGCCCAGTGGCTTCAACACTTCACCACCCAGGTGTATGTCCTTACGCTTTGGCATCGCAGCCCTGGCCATGTTCTTCGTGGCCTTCGCCCAGCGCCGAAGGGACGACGCAAGGGACGCAGCGGACGCCGTGGACGCGGCGCCGAGCGGCTGCATCTTGACGTGTGGAGCTGAACTGGCTGCACCTTGGCGAACGGACGTTGAACGCGGCAGCTAGTGCTGGGTACTGAATGGTGGTTTTCGATGGTTTTTCCATGGTTTTTCAATATTGGAAGTTAGTGAGAATGGGATGAATGTTGAAATGTCAAAGGAGATAAAGGAGTCGAGAGAAGCGACTCGCTGATTGTATTTGCTGAATACGAGCCTTTTTGGCTGCAGTTTCAATAGAGTACAGTGTACAGTGCCTAGACTCACCGCAAGTTGCTTAGAAGCGCCCTGTGCTTGGCAATCGAACATGATTACCAGCAGCGATGTGATCACCGTGCAAATGTCGTTGAGTAGTGAGCAGGCTGTGGGTATGGCCCAAAAACCCCGCTGGCGTGGCCGACTTCGCGACATTCAAGCGAAGTGCCCAAGTGGAACCTCGCTGAAACTGAGCAAGGAGCTCGGTGTTGTGGAGATCTCCGGTACAGCCGAAGGAGTTCAGGTGGCTCAGCGGCTGGTGGAGGAACGTCTTGGGCCGGTGAAGGAACTTTCTGCTGCTGTGTGGCATGAGCTACACAGAACCCGGAAGGGTTTGGGGGGCCTGAACTTGATCCATAAACTGACAGGATGTCGTCTCCACTTGCAACGCGATACCAGCCAGGTGAGATTGTTCGGGACAGCTCAGTGTGTTGCAAGGGCCAGTGCTTTGTTGGACCATCTTGAGGAGATGTGTACTGAAGAGCGAGTGAAAGGACCTGCAAAACAGCTGGACCAGAACCTTAGCTGTGCAAAACAATGGTGAATTTTGAGTTTTCCCATGGGTTGATCACGGTTGATCCACCATTTGGGGAATCTAGCGATAGCTTGGGGTTGTTATCTCTACAGGCGGACAGGCGCCGTCGGGTTCCCGGCTGCCGGCCTGGGCCGGGTGTTTCCCGGTGTTTGGGTGGTGTTTGGGTGGTGTTTTGGTGGTGTCTCGGTGGTCGGTGGTTTCCAGGTGGTGTCTTGGTGGTCTCCTGGTAGTTTCTTGGTTGTGTCTTGGTGGTGTCTCGGTGGTGTCTCGGTTGTCTCTTGCTGGTGTCTTGGTGGTGTCTCGCTGGTGTCTCGGTGGTGCCTGGTGGTGGTGTCTCTGTGGTGTTTTGGTGGTGTCTCGTGATGTCTTGGTAGTCTCTTGGAGGTGTCTGGAAGGTGTCTGCATGGCGTTGTGCTCTTTTGATGGTTTCTCGGTAGTGCCTTCATGGTGTCCCGGTGGCCTCGGTGGTGCCTCGGTGGTGGCTTGGTGGTGTCTCAGCGCTTTCCATACAAGTTACAAGGCGTTTGCGGTGTCTTGGTCGTATCTTGGTGGCGTCGTGTTGGTGGTGTCGAGGTGGTTGTGTTGGTGGTCGGTTGGTTGTGTCTCAGTGCTGCTTCCCTGCGTGTCATTCAAATCTTTAGTGTGGTTTCTTGGTTGGTCACACCATGCACCAGGTAGTCTTCAACGGTTCCAGCCGGTTGTCATGTGGATGATCATGATTGCTGACGACGACGACGACGACGACGATGATGATGATGATGATGCTGATGCTGATGCTGATGCTGGTGACGATGGCTATGACGACGACGCTGCCGACGCCGACGACATGGCATTTTGCAGGTCTGGGTTAAGATGGGGAGCGGGAAGGATATTTAATGTATATTCAGGCTTAACGTCCCTGCTGTTACTGTGATGCTTCTACCGAAACAACTGCGAACAGTCCCTGATGCCATTTAGCAACCAGGGCCGTGGGCTGCTCACCTCATTGACGTACTCGCTGCACGCCATGCTCGCACTGAGACTCTCACACAATTTATGAAAAGAAAGCGTATTACCATAGAAAACCAGCAGGAAAGAAGGAATTAATATCGACAGGAGGAAGGGAAAGAAGGAGGGAGGGAGGGGAAGGAGGGAAGGAGGGAAGGAGGGAAGGAGGGAAGGAGGGAAGGAGGGAAGGAGGGAAGGAGGGAAGGAGGGAAGGAAAGAAGGAAGGAAGGGAGGGAGGGAGGGAGGGAGGAAGGAAGGAAGGAGGACGACAAGAAGAAAGAAACAAAGGCCTAGCTTCAAAATGCTGCGTGCACCTTCCAATTTACACACATGTTATTTTCAAAGAGTTGCAAGTCCCACGCGGTTTACAAGTTCTGGTTTCAAAATTTGGCACGCACGGTGCATTTTACAGATTTCAGCCGCAACACGCTGCAAACACCATGCCGCGTGCAATGCGCATATGACAGTCTCAACCTGTTGCAAATACCAGTCCACTTGCAGCTTTGAGCTTCAGAAAGTCACAAAATAGCATCCAGTTTACAGATGTCAGTTTCAAAATGATGCAAATGCCATGCGGTTTACAAGTGACAGTTAAAAAAATACTGCAAACACCATGCGGTGCATTAAATTTTGCCCCAGTATGCTGCGCATACTGTGCAAGTGATTGTTTTTGTGTCCGAAATGCTGTAAGCATTCTACAGTGTGGAGATTTTTTCTTTCATAGCGCTGTAAAATCACAACGCAGTTTTCAGACATCATGCAATTTGCAGATGCTAGCTTCGCACTGCTGGCAAAAAAAACGCAATGGCAGATGAACTAATGTTGCGTAATAGTACCATGCAGTGTAGATGTGCTTGCTGCAAAATTTTGCAAACACTGCGCAATTTTGTGCAAGTACTACGCGGCTTAAACAGATTTTAACATCAAACGACCAAGTATTGTACGCACATGTTCTTAGACATCACGGGTGCTTTTACACAGAGGTGCTTCTTCTCAAATTTTTAACACAGACGTTTGCACACTGCACGCAGGTGCTTTTATCCAGAGATGCTTCACACGCAAGTACCTTTACGCACAGGTGCTTGTACACAGGGATGCTTTTACAAACAAAAACTTTTACACACAGACGCACAGGTACTTCTACACACTACACACAGATGTCTTTGCACAGCGATGCTTTTACGCAGGAATGCTTTTACACACACGTACTTTTACGCAGGGGTTCTTTTGACACAGAGTAGCCCTTACACTAATGAAGCGTTTACACAAATCCGCTTACACAGAGATGTTTTTACATAATAGGAATACATTTATACAGAGGTGTTTTTTGCACACAGATACTTATACAACCAGTACACAGAGATGCTTTTACACACAGGTGTTTGTACACACTAATACGTTTACTCACTGCTTTTACATACGACATACAAGTTCTTTTACGCAGATATTCTTTACACGCAAACACTTTTGCACAGAGATACTTTGACACACAGTGACAGGTGCTTTTACACGCCGGTGATGTCTTTTTTACACATTCACACTACATCGTTTTTCACACACGTATGCTCTTTCACAGGGATGTCACAGAGATGCTTTTACACAGGGTTGCTTTCACACACAGAAACGCTTTTACACACACACACAGTCTCTTTTGTACAGAGATGATTTTACACTGAGCAACTTTACGCACAGATGCCAGAACAAACAGAGGTTTTTTTTACAAAGGAATGGATTTACACAAGGAGCTTTTGCCTACGGTCGTTTCTACACAGACATACGTTAACATGACTCCCGACGGCGGACGTGCATTTGGCGCGAAAGAGTTCAGCAAACATATGAATTTCACCGCAACATGTGAGGATCGAGACGCATTTCGTGGGAAAGGGTTGGCCCAGCACAAACCCACTCGGGTTGCGTGAAAGAAGTTGATATCCACCTGCGTTTTTACATCTGCCACTCTACACCTGCATGTAATTTTCATTTTTTTTAATAACGTTGATCTCCACCTGCACTTATATACCTGCCGCAATACACCTACACCTGCACACATTCATTTGGTAGGCATATGGCGCAAGCTTTATGCCACCATGCTTTCAGCTTGTTGTCGGCAAACCCTTGGTATGTTTCACTTATACTGGTACGTCCATTTCGAAACGTTCAGCGCCATGTTCGCCTTGGCCATTACTTGATCTACCTGATCAAGTTCAACCTTAACCACTCTCCTGCTGGTACAAATTTTCTTTCCGCAGATTTCTTCTCTATGGATCTCTATGGCGCATTGCTTCCTGATTCTTCAGCTCCTTTCCGATTTGACGGCCACTTGCTATCACAATGACATTTTCTTCTTTTTCTTCTTCTTCTTGCTCCTGTTCATTTCACACTACTCCTGGTTCAAGGCAGTGGGGTAGGTCTTGCACACTCGTCCATGCCTTCGTTTACTCTCACGCTCGGCTGTTACGACATCTTATCCTTCCTGCACAATGAGGACAAGGACAGGCCAGGACAGGCCAGGACAGGCCAGGACAGGTATTTATACAATCGACCTGGTCAAGTTCAAACTTCAACACTCCAAAATTGACTTTGTTTTCGCACTGGTACAACTTTTCTCTCCGCAGATTTTCTTCTCTATGGCGCATTGCGCCCTGCTCATTCTTCAGTTCGCATTGGCGTCTTCTTCTTCTTCTTCTCCTTCTTCTCCTTCTTCAAGCTACTGTTTATTTCACATTAGTCCTGGTTCAAGACTATGGGGCAGGTCTTGCACACTCGTCCGTTTCTTCGTTTACTTTCATGCTCGGCTGGTACGGCATCTTCTCCTTCCTTTAGATTTGGGGCAAGGACTGGTTTTCATAAAATCGACACCGTCTCCATCAATTAGGAGCTAAAGCTGGCAGGGGCTGCCAGTGGCTTGCCGGGAGACCACGGTCACTCCTCCTCGGCGCTTTTCCCTTTTGTGACACACTCCCTCCAAAGAGAGAGAGACTGGTGGTCACGAACCCTGCTGTGTGTCACAGGACCGTTATTTACTTTGCTTTTTGTTGTTCTCTCCGCATCAGTATTGTCTCTTTTTCTCGGTGGTGTAGGTTCCACCTTGCCAGAAAATGGTGATGGGAAAAACCTTTTGCAGGTCCTTTCGGGAATTGGTGGCGTCTGTCCTGATGGTGTCTGTCCTGTTGGTGTCTTGGTGGTGTGTTTCGGTGGTCGTTGCTGTCTTGGTGGCACTTTGGTGGCGTGTCCGTAGTGTCTGGACGGTGTTTGGTGATGTTTGTGTTTTGCTCATGTTTTGGTGGTATTTCTGTCGTGTCTTGGCAGTGTTCTGGTGGTGTTTTGGTGGTATTGAAAGAATGTTTCTTTAAGACTAAACTGGCTCACCTGTCAATACCAAATTGGCGTAAAACGAAACGCGCAACTTTGTTATTGGGGTTGTGTGCTGGGTTAATTTTTGAGATCCTAAAACAAAATCCAAGGAACGTGCTTGACAAGATTGCACGTCAGACCTGTGTGACTCTATGGATCGAGGGGTCGGAACTCTACCTGATGGGCTTCAAAACAGCTATCCAAGATGCCCTGGATGAAATAGGAAAAGCGATCTCATCTCCTGACCTCATTCCATGTGACATGGCAGATCCTCCCAACGCCAGAGAGGTGTACCACTTGGCGCCCTTGATACGCTTTGCCCCACATGTGCAAAGTCCAAGCCACGACACCCCGAAGGTGCCAAAGCACTGTGGTGGATCAGATGCCAACAGCACTGGTGTTCGTGTAGCGGTGAACAAGGTGAACAAGGTGAACGCTCCATACGGCCACTTCAATCAGTTCAATCAGTCACCGCCGATTATGTCCACCGAAGGAGGAAGTACTTTGCCAAAGCCAATGCCGCAATTTCATGACCCCTTTTGACGGTCATGCCATGCTTTGCCGCCGCAGAGACTGAATTTTGATTCGGTTGAGTGGCCAGTGAGGCTGGGCGTATTAGATATTATAGATGATATTAGGATGTTAGTGTACTCGGAATCTTCAGCAGAATTCTAGATTCTAGATGCCACTGCTGATGTCAGGAGCCGTGATAGTGAACACAAGATCGAAACCATTCTGGCTTGACGTCTTTATGTGGTCAGCCCTCACAACCTCGTGCCAGATTCACTTTCAGAAGAGTTCGCTGCAACGGACCCTGCGTCAGATGCGTAAGTTCCCACCTGTCAGACTGCTAAAAGCATCTGCCGGGTGTCGTGAAGGCCCGCGCAGTCTCGCTTTATGAAGCACCTCCAGAAAGTGCCAGAGAGAGAGAGACCGGTCGCGATGCTCGACTCGATAATACCCCCTTCTGGCACGGCTTTCCGGTGACATTGACATCGTCCCATTCTTGGATTGTTGAGCACCTTTCAATTTTCAAGGTCTTTAACGGTCAACCGTCACTGTCGAAAGTTGTGCGGGGAATGCTAAGGTGAAACCTTCTGGCAGTAGCATTTGCTAGAAGGCTTCAAGTTTCAATTTCAATAACGTCCTGGAAGATGGGACCGCCCAAAAAAGCGGATGCGCACGTTGCTGGGAACCCATGGATTGCTGAAGATTTTTCATTGAAAACAAGGCAGAAATACTACAGGCATGGGCTTCAATTTCAGCTCCTGAGGTTTGGCTTTTTCTGGCCTTCATGTTGCAAGCTGTGGGATTGCAATACACCACTGCCTCCAGTGGTGCCCTCTTGGGCAGTCTGACCATCGTGTGCCTCGGTTAAAGAAGGGACTTGTGGCTCCGTTTTGTGGCTTGTCCCCTTCTTCTGCAGATCTGGGGGGTCAAAACCATTCAAAACTTATGATTTTTTATGACTTTCCTAGATGAATGGATGAACATCCGGCTACCAGCTAACTACTTTGATGTGAGTTTTCCAGGGTTTTCCACCTTTTTTCCACGGTCACCTGACCCACCTGGGCCAAAGCCCCAAGACTCCAAGGCTTGTACCTCTCTTGAGCCTTTTGGATGGGCGCCGCATCAGCCATCTGACCTGGGGGTCCGTGGCCCTGGCCACCATGGGGACCGCCCTCTTCGTAGGACCCAATGCCTTGCAGGGCGCCTTCAGCAGCTTTGGAGCCTTGGAGCTGGGCCAAAAACTCAGCGTAGGGGGATGTCCAAAGATGGCTTTTACATGGCTTTTACCATGAATCAGCAGGGGTTCCTGCAAATTTCTCTTTCACCCCATTCCCCGCATGGCTTGGATCCTTTTTGGAGCCAACTTTTAAGGGTGAAACATGTGAAAACCAGTGACGGATTGCTGCAGTTTGGGCCCAAATTGTAGGTTTCTCCTCCAAGAATGGCTCTGCAAAAACCCAGATCCTATCAAATCTCCATGTTGTGTTTTGGATATCGCTGTTTCTGTCGGGCATACTGTATACGAAAACTTTTGGTTATATATTTAGGCTATATCAAGCGATATCATATTCGCCTGTTGTAGTTCCGCGATGTGCACTTCCCCTCCCGTGTCCCGTGCCAAGGCGACATCTTGGAATTGGGCAGCGCTGCACTCTTCGCCGTGCAGATGTGGCGCTGCGAAAGGCTCATCCGTCAAGTGCCTGAGAGTGAGGTGCAGAGGGAACACTATGACAGGACCCGGCCCATTTTGGTTTAGATCAAAGTTGTCCAAGATCAATTCCAAGGTTCATATAATTACAGTCAGTATATGATATTGTATATGTAGGTGATTTACGATAATTTTGCATATGTTGTTTCCGACCTTGATCACTTTCTTGAATCCTGTGGCAAGCCGGGCGTCCGTTTTGCAAAACAAAAAATGCTTGGAGAACTGGGGGTTTCACCAGCCAGTTCTCTGCCGACTTGGCATAGTCTCTCTGGATCTATTTGGTCAGATCTTTTCTTGCAATAATTCCCTAGTCAACCAGTGATTGTGGGATTCCAGGAAGTTTGCACGGTGCCAGACTTGCCACCAGAAGCAGTTTTTGACCTGCTCATTTCAAGTGCAGGTCAAGCAGAGGTACCATTGAAAAAAGGACATTTATTAAAGGATAGAAATGGATAGAAATCAATTTTTCATGTTGATTGAATCAGGCTGACTCACATTCCCGAGATTTCTTGCAGGTCGTGGGGCTCACCTGCTTACAGTTGGCGTTGGTGGCAGGCTGTGTTGGGGCAGGGTCCTACGGTCCGATTTGGGGCCTGGGGTAGACTTGTACTGCAAACCCTGATGGCTAAGTAAATGTATAATGATGTTTGTTGGTATACAATGTACTGTATAGAAATGATGAGTTATGATTACTTACATAAAATTATCTACACTAAGACTAAAGTAAATAGAATTCCATTACGTTGCATTACATTACACTACATTACATTGCATTACATTGCATTACATTACATTGCATTACATTGCATTGCATGACATTACATTACATTGCATTGCGCTGCATTAAATTACATTACTTTACCTAACATTACCTTATATTATCTGACATTACCTTACATTACATACAAAACCAAACCATACCTTACTTTACCTTACCATACCACGCAAAGCCATAAAATACCTACCATACAGTACCCTTCCATCACATCACATTACATTACATGACAGGCTACTACAGCAGCACAAAATACTCAACAATACATGTGCATGCTTATACAACTTCGTCCCACACACACACACCCACACGCACACACACGCACAAACAGTCATTGTTCCTTTCATTGTTCTTCCGTTTGTGATTTTTTGTTCTTATATTGATGTCATTTTTCTTTCCATCTCTGCTTGTTCAATGAACTTATCTACCTCCTCCTCTGTGACAGGATTCTCCAGTCATTGCACCAGCTTGAAGGATAACACTACTTCAAACAGTCACATCAGTTTGCATCAGTTGCATCTTCAGGGGTTCTGCAGTGATGGTCATCTCGATGGGCAAATTGCATGTGGCTGCTGAATTTCTCCAGGCAAATTGGATGGTGAAACCTGCCGCCATTCTGCTGCCAGAAGCTTTCCAAGACACGCCAGGTTTCTCCTTCATGTGCGTGCTGGCTGAGGGCTTCAGCATGCCTTTGGTGGTGGAGACACTGTCGACCTTGGCACCAGGTGAGTGGATGTCGGTGGTGACCATGGGCCTGGTCACTACGGCCTTCTGCCTCTGGGCTGAAGCTTGTGCCCTGCAGAATGTGGACGCCTCGGTGGTGGCTTGGCACCGAAAAAGCGGACCCCCTTAGGCTGTTTCATGAGGGGGTACTATGAAAAAGTATCAGACTATCAATTGGTGATTGTTGAAATGGTTGGTTGGTTGATTGATTGCGATGTGTTTGAATGTTGAAATCTGATTGATTGGTTGGTTGGGATGATTGTGAATGGAGCAGCAGGGGAGAACCACAGGCTTCTGAACCAGTTGCAAGGATTTCCAGACGTGCTTCAACCCTAGAACTGAATCGATTTGATCAGGGAATCCATTGCTTGAGAGGGGCTTCTTTTCTCGAAAAATCGGGGAATCTCCCAACGAACCAGCCTCCGAATGATGAATTTCATGCCAAGGCTGCGCTGATCTATGCCTGTGAACCAATTTGGGGAGCTGTCTTCGCATACCTATGGCGAGGTGCTTGGTGCCTTCAATCATTTGGTGGTCTTTAGAAAAAGCAAGGGGAAAACCAGCAACATTATGTGATATTGATATTAGCAACATTTGCTATATTAATTCATATACAATGCACATTAGGAGATACATAATATAATGTATGATATGTTGTACATAATGATCTATAGATTGAGTGTGAGAGATTGGGACATTTACATGATTGCACGAAACATGTTTCCGTCTTTTTCCCAATATGCCAGCAGCCGGCGTGCAGGTGAAACATTGGAGGGTCCCTGTGCAATGTGTGGTGCAGGGCTGCTTTTCTTGGCATCTATGGCAGGCCATCTGTTGAACGGGAGTGAACCTGTGAAAGTTCCAATGTCTAAAACGCTGATACACCCTAACTTGTACATGATTTACCTTTCAAGAACGGGGTGTCGTACCATGTTGAATTATCGTGGGTTAGCATCACTTCCCAGCATCCTACATTACATGAAAGAAACTGTTTGATACAAACTTGAAGATCAGTGTAGGTCGGTGACTTCCCACAGAACAGCCGATGTTGGAGTCCAAATCTGGATCTATTGAACTCTATTGACTCATGAACGTCTATTCCGTGTCCTTAATCATTCTATGATTCCAGGTCAGATTTGGTTTAAGAATGTTTAAGATAAAATCTGATTTTGATGGAAAAACCAAGGGTTTCTTTCGGACTTCCCCATCAACGAACGCAATGATCCCCTTGTTTGCCGAACGTCCAAAAACCGTTTCAAACGCAGGTGTCATGGCATCGACACAAGAGAAGGCCGACACGATGCCGGAACCTCGAACGGCATAGCCAAAACAGGCCTGGCACAAAGCGACCAGCCATCAGATGATGGACACTGTTGATGCTGGCCATTGGAAGTTCAGGAGGCGGCAAGTGCTGTTGGCCTAGTGCTGGTTGCCCAACTGGGAGGGCTGGCTCCGTGCGAATTCAGGAGTTGCGGCCGGTTCCCAGCATTTTCAGATGTATGAATCACGTTTGTTCCACGGTCCAAGCCAAAGTTCTCGTCCTCCCTTGGCACAACATCATGTGGCACAACAGATTGGAAACGGGCGTATAAACTGTATAAATCCATATAATTCATATCAATTTATGTAAATCCATATAATCCGTAAGTTTTTCAGTCTTTTGGCATTTTTTCGACCGTGGCAACAAGGGATGCAGATGATATTCGTTCAATTTGTGGCAGGATCGGGTCGATGAGTCCATCGGTGATTCCAACCCCCTTTGCCACACTATGCGTCAGCTGACCAGAGCTGATGATGCTAACAATTGCTTGATACTGCTTGACGTGTCTCGTGGAACCATCCATGTCGCAGATGCAGATGATGATTACTATGGCTGTGGAATGGCCGTGGCATGGCTGTGGGTCGATAACATGTTTGGTCCATACAGTACCCATGCATTTGCATATATCATGCCGTATACATGTGTCATGTATATATATATATATATGTACACACACATATATATATATATACATGTTATATATATATATATGTATATATGTATATACATATATACATAAATATACATATATATATATACATATATATATCTATATATATGTATATATATATATATTGTGATTTCCCATCATGCTGTCAGTGCCTTCACCTTCCAATGTTCCGTCAGGTGTCAAAACAACAACACTGCATGCCTCCAATAGGCATTTCTCGGCTCAGGGAGCCTGGATGTGGGAGGGCGGGCATTTCACTTGCCTGTGAGCCATAGGTTCTGAAGGTAGCAGGGCTACCAATTCTGGCTACTTGGACGTGGACGTCCATAAGTGCTTGGTGGATCCAAAACCTTTTGTGAGCGATTGCAGAGCAAAACAGAAAGGGGCGAACGGTCTGAAGCTGGGTGAAGATTGACAGGTGAGGCCACCTTTCAGTTCTTGGGGCATTGGACATTTCCCTTTCAGTTTCTGCAGTGGGGGTTTTACCAATTACATTGGTAGCGGAGCTCCGGCTCCAGCTCCGAAGTTTCCAGGGAGAAAGGCGTGAAGGATGGCATCGACGTCAGATGGCGATGGACAAGCAGGCACAGGTGTGAATTCACAGCTGGCTTCTCTGGTTCCTAGCTTTGATCCGTCAAAGGATGATCTGCAAACCTACCAGAAAAGAGTTCAACTGGTGTTGGCCGCATGGCCGAAGACGCGCATAACTGAACTGGTAATGAGGTTAATCCTTAACTGCCAAGGAAGTGCTTTCGACAAATTGCAGTTACACCAGACTGAACTGATGGAGAATGATGAGAAAGCCGTGCAACGAATCATCACCTTGTTAGGAGGTCACTGGGGAAAGATTGGACTGGAAAAGCAATATGAAGATGCTGAATCAGCCTTGTTTCATACCTCCCAGCATGCCGATGAATCCAACGATTCATACCTTGCTCGAGCTGATGTGGCTTGGAGCAAACTCCTCAGTCGCAAACTGGAAATGAAAGATCTGCAAGCGTACATCCTACTACGTGGGTCAACGTTGAGCCCCGAGGAAAAGAAGAAGGTAATCCTCGAGTCGGATCAGTCTTTGGAAGGTCAGTTGACAGTGTCTAAAGTAGCTGAAGCAATCCGAATCCTGGGTGCAACCTTTTTCAATGACATGACCGGAAACAAGAAAACCAAGACCAAGGTGTACAGTGCAGCAACTCTGGTTGCGGAAGACGAGGAGGAAGAGGCCCATCTAGCCACTCAGGAGGAACTGGGTGAGGATGAAATGTTGGAATGCCTGTTAAGTGAGGGAGACCCTGATGCAACTCTAGTGACAGATTTTGAAAATGCTGTATCCGAGATTGTACAGGAAGACACAGCCCTTGCAGCCGCATACACATCATACCAAGATGCACGTCGGCGCCTAGCCGATAAGTCCAAATACCGTGGCTTTTGGCCAGTAGCACGTGAGCCCAGTGGATCTACCAAAGGTAAATCTAGTGGCAACAAAGGTGGAGGCAAGAACAAAGGTTCGTGGCCAAACAAGCCCCGTCGCAGCCTGCAAGATCGAATCCTGAACTCCACATGCCGATTGTGCAACCGTCGTGGCCATTGGAAGGCCGAGTGTCCATTCCGACAATCGGGATCGACAGCACCAGCCTCATCCAACAATGCGATGCCTACGACGACCGTCGTTGTCGGAGATGCAGAGGACGACATTCTGCCCATGGAGTTCGTCCAACTGCCCGAGATGTCATCCACCACCGCCGACCCAAATGAGCCTTTGTCAAGTTTTTTAAGCAATGTCACGAGTGATGGGGTGTGCAGTCCTTGTTACATGGGGTTGATTCATGGGGAATCGTATGGGAGTAACAGGGTTAAGCAACATGATCATCCCACTGCTTATGATAGGTTAAGGGCATGGTTAGCTTGGAGGGATAAAATGTCACCTACTTTGCATAACCTGCCGAGGAAGTCTGAAAGCCAGAAAGAACACGGTGTCCCTGAGAGATCCGTAGAGCCTGTCAAAGTTTCAAGCCCATTTGCCAGTCAGGTGGAAGAACCCAGCCGAGCATCCGAACCATGCCAAAGTAGTGATAGTCAAGTGTGTTTTGCCACTCACTCGTCATACGGCATTTTGGATCTGGGGGCTTCCAAAACAGTGATAGGTAGCGAATGTCTGCCGGACTTAATTCGAAGCCTCGATGCAAGCATCCGGAAGCAGTTGACACGCTGTCCATGCCATGTCACTTTCAGGTTTGGGAATGAAGCCACTTTGTCCAGCCGTCAAGCACTGGTCATACCCATAGGGAAACTACGACTCAAAGTAGCCATAGTGCCTGGAGGAACACCATTTTTGCTGAGCAACACATTGATGCGAGTCATGGAAGCCAAGATCGATTGCTCCAATCAGACGTTGTCCAGCAAGATGCTGTGTAAACCAGTTTCACTTCAGTTGACAGGTAAGGGTTTGTTTCTGATTGATGTTAATCACTTGGTTCAAGCCGCCCAGGACAACACTTTTGCCGATTTGAAGTGCGAAGGCCAGACCATTGCTGAGACTTTTGTGTCCGATGGCAAGGTGAAAAAGACAGTGTCATGGGAAATTTCAGACAAGGTATCAGATGAAGTTTCACAGGTCATGCGGTCACCAGGTCCAAGACAATCTGTAGTGCAAAACCATGTTACGAACCATAAAATCGATTCAGTGGAGAATGAGACCGAAAGAAACCATCAGTCCCATGTGACCACAAATCTCCAAAGCAACCGACAGGAACCTGGTATCAAAGCATACCCAGTCAATCAACCAAAATGCAGTGCGGCTCAAAGAACTACGGGTGAAAACATCCGTGCCAAGCATCCGAGTGCGACAGAGAAGCATGTCGCTCAGCCAGCGCCTTCGCCGAGTTCAAGGACCACCGGCGGCACCCGAGATGCCAAGTCTCAGTCACCTGACTCTGGAGGATTTGTCTGCAGAGATAGTGACCTTCGGTCAGAAGTACCTGGGATGCCACTTCCGGGACACCTGGGAGGATCAAGAATGGGTTCAATTCATGGTGAGCCGTTACAGCAAGAGCACAAAGGAGAGCCATCGACGGTATCTCCGATATGTGGAGTTGAAGGTCGAGGCCTTGGAACAGTCGCAAGAGACGGTTCCTCCAGGGTCCAATCCACTCGGAGTGCTTCGAAGCCAAGCCAAGGCCAAAGCCATGGCACGTCCCATCGGCAATCCCATCAACACCTCTTTGCCAGATGGGAAGCCGATTGGGATATCGAACCCGAGATGTATGCCTCACAGATTACGTCCGACCAGAACATCTACACGGCCGAGGACATGGATGCCATCCAACAGCGGATGTTGAACATGGAGAACGCACTGTCCCGGGTGATTCGACACATCGAGGACCAGGCACTGATGACCCAACTGAGCCGCAGTCCCGAGGATCAGTGACATGTGACTGGGATGAAGATGTCTTCACGACGATGACTGCTGAATCACGTCAGTTGTTTGACATGGTGAAACAATTTGACGAAGAACTTATCAAGGTCAAATCTCAGACTCCGGCCCTGGGAACCCCTTGGTTGTTGGGTGAAGTAATGTGTGGCGATCAGTCACAACTGACTCAGCAGATGCAGCAGCTGGGCAAACATGCCTTCCGTTTCAGTCGGCAAGATGGAGATCTCTCCACATGTGAGGGCCGCACACTGTTGTTCCAAAAGGTTTGCAGGCATAGGCCGCAACATATTTGGTACAGTCCCGTTTGTGGCCCCTGGTCTTCATGGTCTCAACTGAATGCCTCGAAGTCCCTACATCAGTATGACGAATATGTTCGAAAACGACAAGAGCTTTTGTATCAGATTGCTTTGGGGATAACGTTGTATCGTCACCAAGTAGGCCAAGGATATCATCTACATTGGGAACAGCCTCTCAAGTCCTTGATGTTCAGGAATCCCAACATGAGTGACGTACACCAACACACCCAGGCATGTCAATTTGATATGTGCAGAGCCGGCAATTTACGAGACCCTGAGACCCAACAGCCCATGAAAAAGGGAATGACTGTTTTGACTTCCTATCCACCTCTTTACAACCACTTACATGGCATGACTTGCAATCACCAACATGTGCACCAACCTTTGGAAGGATCATGCAAACCAAAACCCAATCAGCCTGCCATTTTGCGAACTCAATATTCAGAATCATACACCCAAAAATTTGCCAGAATGGTTGTGAAAGTGTTGATTAAAGGAGGAAAACAGTGGCCATTCAACTGGCGCCCTGGCATGTTGTGTCTTGCCCATCAAGACGCTGTCTGTGCTGCATCGTCGTCAAGCAAAGTGCGACGCCCTGCTCAATTTGAGCGGTCTGAGCTAGTCCAGCCAATTCGCCGAGCTGATCCCGAAAACAAACGGCTCAAGACTGACCGTCATCAGGGAGATGCACCATCACTGGAAATGTGTCAACAAGTAATCCAGATGATCAGTTCCAACTTCCCAAGAGTTGGAAAACGAGAAATCACTGAGAAAGAAGCCAAACAACAGTTGCAACAAATATTTCCGGACAAACACATTACCAGAGTTGTTGGATGCAAAGGATCCGAAAGGACACTCGCTCCACCGCCGAACATGCATGCCCAGGAAGCTCCTTTCAGAAAAGCGTTGCTACTGAGAAGGGATGGTAGCATCCAATATGAGAAGAACTGGGAAAAATGGGTTCATTTGTCACAACGTCAATTGACCAGACCAGCACGTGCTAGTAGGTTGAATGTGACTGTCTTTGCACGTGACCATGATAAGAAAGAAAACCCACCGTCACCCGAGAATGAGAGGAGTGCACCGGAACCTTCCAGCAGCGACCAGCGTCCTGAAGGCATGTTAGAAGACGCAGTGCCTGATAGCGTTGTTGAACTCCGTGAGCCACCAAAATTCATATCAGCAGAGACCACAGCTGATTCCGATGTTGCCAGTAGGAATGCCGAAGAGCTTTCTGACAAGCCAACATCCGTTGCACGTAATGCGCCTGCAGTTTCTGAAGTGACCTCCAATGAACAAAGTGGTCCAGTTTTGACGCAACAATCATATCGGTTTCAACAACTCCCCAGATGGGAACAACAAAATATTCTGCGAATGCACAAGAACCTTGGTCATCCATCAAATGACAGACTTGCCAAAGCACTTCAGAACAGCGGATATCGACCCGAGGTTGTTCAAGCTGCTCAGGAAATACAGTGCCAAATATGCGCTGCCAATCAGCCACCAAAACATGCTCGACCAGCCACCCTGAAAACGATGTTAGATTTTAATCATAAGATCTATGTAGATGGGGTAACCTGGACCAACCAAGCAGGGAAGAATTACCACTTTTACCATGTTTTGGATGCAGGAACCAATTATCACGTTGCCATTTCCGCACCAGCAAAGACCACTGAGAGTTTTCTTCAGATCATGAACCAGCACTGGCTCAGCTGGGCAGGTCCGCCTCGAGAAATGGTAGTTGATTCTGGTACCGAGCTGAATAGCTCTCAGGTGGATGAGTTTGTGCAGCGATTTGGAATCAGGAGCACCACCACCACTCCAGAAGCGCATTGGCAAAGTGGCAAGATCGAACGTCATGGCAGTTTCTTGCAGACCATGCTGGATAAAATGGACATGGAACATCCAATTCAGGACTACAACCAATTGCAGATGGCACTGAACCAAGCCACCCATGCCAAGAACGCACTTAGCATTCGTCATGGTTATGCCCCTGAGATCATAGTGTTTGGTAAACATTCTCGCTTGCCGGGGTCAGTTTTGAGTGATGAATCACTGCCATCTCATGAAAGCATCATGGAAGAAGGTGATCCCATGTCCAACCAAGAGTTTCGACAGTTGCTGCATGTCCGTGAGTCCGCTCGAAAAGCATATCACATAGCTGATAACAGCGATGTGCTCAGAAGAGCTGCCTTACGCCGAGCCTGTCCAAGCCGAGGACACTTCACCAAGGGAGAATGGGTAATGATATGGCGGAATAATCCACTCAAACAACTCCGATGGCAGGGACCTCACCGAGTCATAATTCAACATGGCCAACATGTAGTTTGGTGTACATCAGGGGGTAAGATCTATCGAAGTGCTCCAGAAAATACCCGCAAGGCATTTCCCCAAGAGGGTTCTCCTGAGGGTCCGGATCTCCCTGAAGATGTTACTCCTCTCATGTTACAGATCCAAAGGATGCAATCTCTTGACAATCAAATGAATGAACTTGATCTTGACCATCTCTCCCAGAATCCAACAGGCAATAATGAACTCAATAACTCCACCGATAACCCTTCCGAAACACCTGAGAGCCACCATGAAAATACTGAACATTTGACATCATCACACACCCATGATCAAGAAGAAGAAAGCCAACAGGAATCCACTTCTCAACCAGACCAGGAACCTGAGAACCAAGGCGACATTGAAACCCCAGGAATCTCAGAAAACGGAGATCATGCAGAAGTTATCATGTACACATGTCATGAAGTCGCAAATGCTTTCACTGAAGAAGCCATGGACACAATGGCCTGGAAATGTGAGTTTGACATGGATTTAGGCCTGCCACTGAACAAGTACATGCCTTCTGATGAAGAGTCCTGGGCCATGCTGGCCACCACGGCCAAGAAGCAACGGACCGAGGTCAAACTGACCGAACTCTCACCGACAGAGCGGGCAGAATTTCAAGCTGCAAAGGAGTCAGAGATTCAAAATTGGATCAAAACAGGGACAATCAGCACCATCTTGAGACATCAGATACCTGAGGAACAGATACTAAGATGTCGATGGATTCTCACTTGGAAACCCATAGACAATGCAGGGCAAGAAGATTCAATCCAACAAAATGCAAAGACTCACAAGGCGAAAGCACGACTCGTTGTCTTGGGTTACCTTGATCCCCGCATAGAAGAGTTACCTCGTGATAGTCCAACACTTAATAAGACTTCACGTATGCTAGCCCTACAGGTGATAGCCTCTCATGCATGGCAACTTCGCAGCTTCGATATCAAAGCAGCCTTTCTTCAAGGACAGCCGCAAGCCGACAGAATCACGGCCATTGACCCAGTGCCAGAACTCCGAAGAGCACTGAACTTGCAGACTTCGGAAGTTTGCAAACTCAACAAGAGTGCCTATGGGTTGATAGATGCTCCATACCTGTGGTATTGCGCTTTGGTGTCCGAGTTGATGAATCTTGGTTTTGAACAATCTCCTTTTGATCCATGTTTAATGATTCTAAGATCATATGATGAGAGAACCCAACAAACCAAACTTGAAGGTGTTCTTGGAATACATGTAGACGATGGTATCGGAGGGGGTAGTGAGCTTTTCGTTGCCAAAATTCAACAACTTGAGAAAAAGTTCCCATTCGGCTCACAGAAGATTTCCTCATTTACCTTTACAGGAATTGAGTTGACACAACATGGAGACTACAGCATATCAATGAGCCAGTCCAATTATGTGAAAAAGATCAAAGCCATTCCAATCGAGACCAATCGCAAAACCCAATTGGAATCTCCCGTCACAGAGCCAGAAAGACTCTCATTACGAGCATTAGTAGGAAGCCTACAATATGCTGCCATTAACACCCGACCTGACCTTTCCAGCAAGTTATCCCTGTTACAATCTGCAATTAACAAAGCCACTGTTGACACTTTGATGGAAGGCAATCGAGTTTTACATGAAGCCAAGAAATACCACCATGTAACTATCAACATCAAACCCATTCCCCATCAAGATTTCCGTTTCCTTGCCTTTTCAGATGCATCATTCTCTTCGCCATCCAAACCCGACTCACATGCTGGATCCATCATTGTGGGGACCCATCAGGATATCAGTAAGAACTTCCAGTGTCCTATTAGTCCGTTGACTTGGGGTTGTAGGAAAATTCAAAAGGTAGTAACCAGCACCTTGGCAGCAGAGACGATGGCCCTATCGTCAACACTTGACCAATTGTCCTGGTTAAGACTATTTTGAAGCTGGATTCATGACCCAAACACGGAATGGAAAAATCCTGAGGAAACCCTAAAGAAAATTCATGCCGCAATCACCATCCCTACCAAGAATCCCGACAGTGACATGGCCATAACAGATTGCAAAAGTTTGTATGATCTAGTGACAAAGACCGCACCTCCTCAATGCTCCGAATTTCGTGTGCAACTCATGGCACGAGCCATTCGAGAATCTCTTCGAGAAGGCACTCATTTGAGGTGGGTACCGAGTGGTGCTCAGTTAGCAGATGCCCTTACCAAATCCATGGAGTCTCACTTTCTCCGTGAAACGTTAAGTTTAGGGACCTACCGAATATACGATGAAGAAGCCACCCTCAAAGCGAGAGCCCGATCGAAGGACCGTCTCCGATGGCTCAAAACTCATGAGACCACATCCGAATCTCATGCACTTGAGTGAGAAAGAAGTTTAAGGTAAAATCCATGAGTGCAGCATGATGTAAGTTGCCTTAAAATTTTGTTTTAGACGAGTGTGATTTCCCATCATGCTGTCAGTGCCTTCACCTTCCAATGTTCCGTCAGGTGTCAAAACAACAACACTGCATGCCTCCAATAGGCATTTCTCGGCTCAGGGAGCCTGGATGTGGGAGGGCGGGCATTTCACTTGCCTGTGAGCCATAGGTTCTGAAGGTAGCAGGGCTACCAATTCTGGCTACTTGGACGTGGACGTCCATAAGTGCTTGGTGGATCCAAAACCTTTTGTGAGCGATTGCAGAGCAAAACAGAAAGGGGCGAACGGTCTGAAGCTGGGTGAAGATTGACAGGTGAGGCCACCTTTCAGTTCTTGGGGCATTGGACATTTCCCTTTCAGTTTCTGCAGTGGGGGTTTTACCAATTACAATATATATATATATATGTATATATATATATATACATCATTAAATATAATATATTATATTATATCATATCATATTATATTATATATATTATATTATATTATATTATATTATATTATATTATATTATATTATATTATATATATTATATTATATTATTATATTATATTATATTATATTGTATTATATTATATTACATTACATTACATTATATTATATTATATTATATCATATCATATTATACTATATTATTACATTATAATATATTATATTATATCATATCATATCATATCATATTATTTTATGTTATACTATATTTTATTATATTGTATTATATTATATGACATTATACTACATTACATATTATGTATACATTATATCTTTTACATGCATAGTATTTCCCCTTGCTCTGGCTTGCTTTGTTTTGCTGACCGTCCCATGAGTCAAGCAATTGTGAAACTAGTTGCTTTGTATAGCCTCTTTCTTGCGGCCTTTTGGTAGTTGCACGCTTTTTAACCTAAGGCGTGGTGGCGTAATAGACAAACTCCATCAGGTACAATTGAATCACTTGGTGATTTGGTGAACTCACGAATACCCGAAACTACAAGGCTCAAGCATGCCCCAACTTTGAAGCTTTAGAAAGTCTAGCGTATTCAAATATCAGAGACCATTTTCATGTATCCTGAAGTAAGCGGGTCCAGCAGGGGATCTTGTTTCAGACAATATTCTGGTGCCATGCTTGGGTTCAGCAAAGACCAAACAAAAATGACGAACCGAAACAGGAAAGGAGTTGTCGGAATGCTACCGAACGCCAACTTCCAGTGTTCGGTCACTTTGCCGAGCAAGTTCCAGAGATTTGGTGACACAAGCTGGGGAGATTGGTGGAGGATTTGAAATGCTTCCACAGTTTGGGTAATGGGTCGACATATCCCAAATCAAACATGAAATACTAGTGTTGCAACATGTAGAGGACATGAACAATGACTATCTAACCAACAGTTCGGGACATGTTCGGGTTTTTTTTCACACCTTCCAATACAAGTTCACAGACGCATAACACTCAGATGAATATTTTTGGATACAAGGGATGCTACTTCAGCGGGCACTTGCCGGCGCCTGAAGCCTCCAAACAAGGTTGACGAACATCCCAACCAAGGGCTACAAGGTTTTGAGCCACAACCATCAGTGTGCACGTTTCTGCTACGTGTACCCATAAATGCAGCATACCTGCGATTCAGGGATGACGAGCACATTTGGCTATTTACCCTCCCGACACTTGATTTCGTGACAGTTTGTCAGAGGCATGAGGCCATGTCATAATTTGGAGGGAACGGCCTATGCCTATGCCCTTGGCTTGTTGTCAGCAGATCTCGAACTTGAGAAGTTTCTCCAATTTATAAGCGGGGAAGAGTCGGATTGCTGTAGTTGGGCTGGACATCCTGTTTGCTGCCGAAACAACAGTGGTATACATTGAATATTTGACGGATAGGATTTCCCCCGCGCAGCATTTCCCGGCGTTTCTTCCCGCATTTGGCAGGTTCATGGTATCGGTGCCAAATCCTGCCTGCATCTCACAGGATGCACACTTGGGGCCTTCATATCGCGAACTTTTGAAAGGCCCTGTGGAGAATTCAGTGCAGATATCGTCACTCAATCAGATCCACTTTTGGAGCCTGAAACTTTGGAGCTTTTAAGTCATGAACTTCCACTTGTACTTGAGAGATCTTGAGAGCACCAACCGCTGTTCCTGGAAAGGCAAAATTCTGAGACCTAGATATTTTATGGATTTGTATGGTATTTTACGCTTTCTCAAAATGTCAGGCTCAAGTTGTTCGGAGGTTTGGGTGACGGGGTTTCAATTCTGCCAGCAGTTGACATTGATTCAAGGCAGATGCCAAAGTGCAAACAGGTCTTTCCTCAGTGATTCCATTGCAACTTTCAATCAGTGACCAATACAACTTCATACAACAACATAGAGTAATCGACAAAATTAGCGGAAGACTAAAGTAGTGGGGAGTGGACTGAACATTTGTGCGAAAACATTCACAACCGATAGGGGACCACCCACTTACCGATACCTTATTTTTGCACCTCGCATGGAAGTACAAACCTTCACAACCGATAGGGGACCACCCACTTTGGCCATGTCCATTGCGGGTAGTAAGTAATTTTGTCCGCCAGTCATATGACAACATATTAATACAACTTTTATGCTGTAGTGGGCCCGGCGGAAGCTGTTGCGCGGATTGACCCTGCCATCCTTGTCGTTTGACCGCGTTCGAGATTTTCTAAAGGTGTTTCGCTGCTGCTTCAGGGCGACAAGGCTCTGATTTATCGGCCAAAACACGTGGTAATTTGTTTCAGAGTGTTGGGGAAGCCTAAAATCCCATGATCGAGACAAGGCGCTTATAATCAGCATTTCTTTCACCATTTCTGTGGGATGTACGGGATCTACCCTGCATTTTTGGACAAAGCCACTGCCGGCCGTTTCGGCATCCTGCCGGGTGGTGATGTTTCGACGTAGCTTCGCAACGTCAGGTGAGGCGCATAAAATGATGACAAGTGATCGCAGCAGAGCAAATAAGAATGTCGTTGCGAGAACCTCAAAATGCCACTTTAATGATGTTCCAATATGATGTTATGATAAATTTTGATATATAACAGGTTTTCAATCATTAGCACCTGTTCAATGGACTTCATGCAGCCATATTAGGCAGATCCATGATCCAGTTGCGATGGCCAACCTGGTGAGAGATGTTGCTGTTGAGAAGCCCGCCGTCACCACCGTCACCGGCCATGACTGCGGCTGTCTCTTGCGACCAAAAAGGCAATCCCTGCAGCATGGGGACCACAAAACGGGAGATTAAACCATGAAGCATGAGGGGTCATGAGGATATCTTGAGGATTAACCTACAAAAAATATGGGATGATATAGGCCAACCAAAGATAAGTTTGTTTTCTTCACTGGGAACTGCGCCTTTCTGAGGTACAGCAATAGCTATGCTGCGCCCAAGGTGGGGACGCCCAGGGAATAGTTGGCAAACTTCAATCTAACTCAACCGCACACTTGACTCAAAGTGTGCCTTTAATCACTTTGGCATTTTTGGGACGAAGAAAAATCTGCCACGGCCAGGCCGACCTCTTCGAGATGTCTGTCAACGAGATGTTCGTAGAGATTCCCATTGTCCGATGCCCCAGCGACGGCGTGGCAGGTGGAATCATTGACTTGCAGGTTGCCCAATGATCTCAAATGTGTCGTGGGGCAAAATTGGGCAGCCCCAAAATGAGATTGCCCAAAATTTGACTACTCAAAATAGCTCCAAAAGGCAATTCCAGAGGTCCTTGGGCCTAACATGTTGACCCATTCTCAAGTTTGAGAAATTCTTGACTTGGTAAGTTGGTAGTTGATCTGCGATTTTTGCTGGTTGAACCAGGCTTGGTTGGTTAACCCCAAATTTGATTCCCGAAATCCTCGCAATCCTCCCCCTAGTCTTGCTGGTTTTACCGTTTACCCCGCTGCATAGGTGGTGACAGCTTCACCCTTGGCTGAGTGCTTCCTGCTGGACTGGTCCATCATGAGCCCTTTGGCCACCTCGCAAGTGGACACCCTGGACGTGGAGAATCAGGTGGGGGATCAAGACCTTGGAATCTTGGAATCTTGGAACCTTGGAGCGGGTCATACGGTCATACCTACGACTCCAGGACCTTCAAAGCTGGATGGTTTATTTTGAAACCCACCAACCAGTAATAGTTGGTTGTACCCATTAAAAATGGTGGATCTTTTGGAAGATACAGGTCATTTTGAAAGATCACCCTGGCTAAAAATGGATGGGATGAGACTCAAAATCATGAAAAAAGCTGAAAAGTCACCAAGTTTAGGCCACATGGGTGTGTCTGAAACTTGGAGAGCTTGGGTGTTCCCACAGAAGTTTTTTTTTCTTAGTTTTCTTTTCGGAAACATGATGAGACATCATGGGATTTTTTGGGTACCATATTTTCATGGATAAATTATTCTGTTAAACTAACCATCATGATATATTCCATTTTCAAATAGCCTACATTTAATCGGGGATGTTCTGGGATTTTATCATGACTATTACAATGAATATGATGATATTACAGTCCTATCATTCATGAGTATAGCTGTTGTTAGTTATGTACCCCCCTGCATCCCATGGTTTTCATGATTTACCTAGGTAGTAAAAACGCAATCCCTAGGGAAACCACCATAAAACCACTAGGGAAACCACTATAATCATGGTAAATCCGATCATTTATACACCTAGTATCACCTAGTTATAGACGATTTCAACATGGGATGATAACACATGTATATATATACACGTAAAGTTATGATAACTATCCATGTAAACTATCCATATTCACTATTTGCCTAGTTATCACACACATAAATATACACATATATATATACACATACCCACACACACACACACCATTTATATAATCCCATCATGTCCTCTAGGGCAACCACCACCCAGCAGGCATTCTTTGAGAAGAACGTGCAGCTCCTGAGCTCAGCCTTGGCGAACTTGGCGGAGGCATTGGGGAACATGGATGGGAAAATGACCAGTGGATGGAATGGGGGTATATGGGGGTTAGCATATTTTCAAAAAAAAACCAGGAAATGATGGGAGAAACAGCTAGAAAAGGGAATTTGCCATTGATGGAAAGGAATTCTGGTGATTGGGTCCAGGTTGAGCGGGGAAAATCGATGACATCGGGGATGTAACCAACGATCATGGAGGATATTGCCAAGAGTGAACTGAACTGAATTCCACCTCGGATATGGCCAGCACCCCACTGTCGCGGTGATCATCCTGGTTGTGACAGAGCGGAGCTACCTCTCAAAGACATGGTTAAGGCTAAGGATTATGATGATTCTAAGTTTATAAATGTTGAATCAGATGAAATATGATGAAATGAGTATAAACAGCCCCTTAGTGGAGGCATTCTGCCATCCCAAGCGAATGTAAAAAGCAGTGCCACGGTGCAGCCAGGAGCAGCAGAAGATGGTCACGAGCTTGGCACATCACTGGGGCAGTTGTTTAATGTTGGAAGAGATTAATTGCCCACAGGAATCATGGGATTATTTACAAGAAGATACAAGAAGTGAAAGGACCAAATATGAATAAATATGATATATTTGGAGATATTTGGATATATTTGGACATCTGTAGTAGTATGTGTACATATATATATATATATATAAAGATATATATATAAAGATATATATATATATATTATATTATATTATATTATATAAGTATATATATAGAGATATAGATATGATTAGATATATCTAGACTCATGTCGAAGCGGATTAAGTGTGCAATTGGTCTTGCCGGGTTGCCACCGATGGCACTGAACTGTTTTGTTTGAGGCCCAGTACGAGCGAAATGCGGGTCGCAAGGGAGATGATAAGGCTGAATGGGCCATGCTTGTTTCAATGTCGCAGACCAGAAAGCTCATCAGATCAACAATGTTCGATGTTTTTCATAGCAGCCATGTAATTCTATGAGGTTTAACATGGTTTAACCGCATTTCGGTGATGTTGTGGTGTAGATCACATGCCACACCCTGCCATACCCTGGTCGGTTTTCCCTGCTGGCACCCAGGGGAAGGGGAAGGGCTACCGCCAAGCGCAACCTCAGCCGTTGGACACCATGGTGCTCAGCAAACAGATCCAAAACTACTGCAAGGCCAGAAGAAGCCGCTCTGTTGCTAAGGAAAAAACAACTTGGAATTCTGGGTGTTCATTTTTGAAACACACCTACATAGATTATCATAGATTTGCAAGGCCACAAGTGCCAGTTCATATTAAGGGAAGGCTTCCGATTTCATGGCCTCGTTTGTCAGGTTTGGGGTTTTTATTAGTCGACCGATGTACGGCAGTTACGAGTGGTTGAACCCGGTGATATCAATGATCTATTTCATGTCCGGGAAGAATTTCACATAGATGGTGAGAAATGATGATATAATATGATGCAGCGCATTTGTACAAACATGGAGACCTTGGAGTTTGTTCATGCCTGGCAGTTATTCCCGCTATTGGAAGATGGGATTCTTTTATCTGTTGGAGAGGCCCCAAAATCTCTCACAAGAGATGATGTTAGCAGTGAAAACAGATGCGGGGAGCTCTGTATATATTATGATATATTATTATTATTATTACTACTATTATTATATATATATTTCTATCTGATGGGGGAATCCCCCAATCTGTTTCTCAATTTCGTGGTGAACGTTGGGGCAAGCTGCCCAGCCTGCCCAGTTTGCCAGGCCATCAACAACTACGCAGGGGATGCCTTCAGCAAGGTTTACCTGGTCTCCAACAAGCCCAAGGCTGCTGGTTAGATCGCGATGCGTCGAGGAGCGTCGATGCGTCGCGTAGCGTCGCGTAGAGCGGCCCCCAGAAGGCATGGATGGCATGGAGCATCCAAAGGTCCAAAGGTCAGGATGGCAACACTGGGAGCCCACTGGGAGCCGCGTTGGAATAATTTTTCGCGCACAGAACTTGAGGACTGCCACAGCCCCCAAAATGGCGCCTGGCATTAAGTTCCTCAGAGCTCAGACAATGAGTCAAGAGCTACAAAACTATGAGATGATCCGGTTGGGATTCAAGATGTCTAAACAATGCTTCATCACTTTATGTTTATTCTTCTAACCTTGCGGACCACGTTCATCAAACAACAAACTCAAATAGAAAGCACCCACCAGACAGCGTGGCTGGGATGGGGTGTGTTGATGCCTGGGAGAGAACAAGCCTCTCCTGGACCGCGCCAGCTGAGAAGTTGAGCCGCTGGCGACACAGATGCCGCGCTGACGCGCGCACTGGCCAAAATTGGGGCAGTGGTTGGGAAGATGTGTCTGAACGGAAGTGCATCTGAAAACTGTAAACTTCAAAAACCCCTCAACATGAGAATTTTCAATATTTTTCATAGGATTGATGACGACAAACGATGAATTTTATGGGTTTGGGACAGGAGCGACGCAGCGCCTTGGCCAAGCACAGGCACTCAGGAAGTTTCTGCGGACGAATCAGATTCGTGGTGTGGCATCTTTTTGGAACTGGTTTTCTCACACGAATCTGGGTCCTGAAATCCATGGAAACTCTTCAAGGCTGGTGGATGCAGATGGCGATGGGCAGATCTCCTTGGCAGAGTTCAAGGCGGATCTCACCTGATGACATGTCAGTTTTTTTTCCAAAAAAACATGTTGAAGAATTGATTTGATAGAACATCTGCAACCTCAACTTGCCTGTCTTTGTCAGGGCGCGGGTTTATCTCATCTTGCTTTCGATTCCCAAGCATTCTTTCACCTCCCAAGTCATTCAGCTGCCTGATGCTGGCTTTACACGCCCAAAAGCAGCTCTTCAGGGATACCCTCTGGTAAACTAACATAACTATGGAAAATCACCATTTTTAATGGGAAAATCCACTATTTCTATGGCCATTTTCAATAGCTACGTTAAATTACCAGAGGGTATCAAGTGAGTTCAGGCTCCACTTGTAATGCTGGTGCCTGTACCAGCAATTTCTGCCGGCGAAAGCGCCATTTTGGGCTCCAGGCCATCTTCCAGCTGAAGTTTGTGTGCGTCACCGGCATCTCCATGACGGATGTGCTACAGGCGAAGATGACCCAAAATCTGGAGCTTTCCTAAAATGGTGGTACCATTGTATATAAAACGATGGGTTTCAATACTAAAACTGTCTAATTTTTGGGATGATTTGGGGATATTTGGGGTATTTTAAGAAACCCCGAAATATCCAGAAATCCTTTTGAGTGGTGGATCTATTCGTGGTGGCCCCAAGATCTGTAGCCAGGTCTCAGTCAGCAAGACCACTGGAAAGGTGGAGACTGGCGAGGCCCGGCCAAAAAAGAGCCATGGCTAGCTGGGAAATATGAGGAAAATAATGGGAAAATCATCGTAGCAACATGTTCAATGGGTGATTTTCCACCTAGAGTCTGGTTTGAATACCAGAGGGTATCCAGAAAACATGTGATTTTGATAGAAGTTGGGTCCCTTGCAACTTTGTGCTGGTGAAGCCGGAGACACCAGTTGTCCTCGTGGCCATGGCCACAGCACCAAAAAATCTACCAGTATGATGGGAATACCATCACTTTCCATCACCTTCCATCACCTTCCATCACCTTCCATCACCAACCATCCAACTTCCAGGATTTTTCCCATGGATTTTTGGCTTAGAATTGGGGGGATGAAATTCTGCTCCTTTCACTGAGGTCATGGAGGCCTTGGGGCCCATTGCCAAGGATGAAGCCACAGGGATGGAGCGAGTGGAGGCCCATGTGGCTTGATGATTTAGGGCTTTTGACGCGTTATGATTTTATATGATATAAATATTATAAATGATATACGTTACATATATAATATATTTACAATATATATATATAGATATTATATGATATGATAAAATATGATATGATATGATATGATATAACATATACAATACATATATGATATGATATATATGTATATGTCCAAATCCCATCCCATCCCCCTTTAATATTTTCCACACTTTCATATACTTTGATCCTAAATATGATGATCACAGATATTAGTGTTTTTATCCCCTACTATAAATGTGGTTTCTGTATGTTTCTGGCGGTGTTTCATTTTGGGGGGGAAGTTGGGCTGAGTTACTACCAAACAAAGACTTCAGGATTCTCATAATCCATTGTGGGACCCCTCATGAATCAACCCCTACAAGGGATTTTCCAAGGGCTTTTTGGCACTGCTCAGTTGACCACGTTCCACCGTTCTGAACCGAATCTCGTTTCAATTCGTTTCAGTTAGTCCAAAACGGGGTTTTCCCCAAATTCCACTTCTTACTCATTTTCTGATCATTCAAACACATCACTATTTTGGGGTATAGAGTTGGTATACACCAAGGTTTTTCCAGATTTTTCCAACCAGATCTCCATCTTTTTCTCCATTCAGGTGAAGGTTTTGAGCTCCGGGAAGCAGGGCTTTGTGACGCTGAAGGGGAACCAGGGCACCACTTTTCTGCAGGTGGGGTGGTTTAGCCCTCTTCGATGATGGGATTTCCCCATGGGAATTCCCCTGGGATGGTGGATCCGGGACAGATTTCTCCATACTGTCCATAGCCACAACTTTTCTAGGCCAAAGCAAGAGAACAACTTTGGTGACCCAAACAAGGGCGCCGAATCAACTAACTATTTTGTTTTTCAGTTACACAGGGCTTTTCTGTGGCTTTTCAACTGGATCTTCCGAAAGCGATTGATGCCGTTAGGAGTCTTCGCCCTTCAGCGACTTTTGCACTTCACTGGACAAGACTCTGGAGGTGTCCTGCTAGGCGTTGGTGTTTTTTGACCTAGGAGTCATGGGAAGCCAAGCTTGTTGTGGGCTTCTACATTCTTGGGAAGCCTGACCAATCCATAACGTATATATATATAATTATAGATATAATTATACGTATAGATATGGGGTTTTGAACGATATAGTCTTGAACCTTACAGTCACCAATTTCATGGGTCATGAATTTGCTTTCAAAGAGAACCGACTGATATAGTTTAGGAACCCCCCTATGATTTGCCTGTACAATCATTTGGCTTATAACAGGCGTTTCTCAAAATTGGGGTACCACTTTTAACTACCATTACTTTATCCTTTATTTTACTGACCAGTTTAACTTGGATGACAACTCTGTTGGTGAAATAGCGAACCCCCAGAAATTCAGACCCCATTAACACTATCTAACCTCATATAACCTCTACTACAGCTCACACAAAGGGCCCAAGTTAAACTTGCCAACTGAGTTGCGGCCCAGGAGCGAACTGCAGCGGTGCGCAAGGTGATCACGCACCTGGGCTTTCATTGTATAACCATGAGTACATTAGCAACACATATCCATATTGAATAATATTATGTACATCATGCACATCACATATATTAATGTTATTAATGCATGGAATATGCTAATATCATTATACTATGAGATCTATTTGTTTTTTTTTGATTGCTACAACCAACAGGTGTTTGTTGACGTTTGACGAAACATCCAGTTGCTTGTACTATGAGTTTCCTCATCCGTTAAGTGGGTATGCTCAAGTGCATGTCTTGAATAGCCTCCACTACTGCTGACCAGCGTCATGGTGGTCATGGTGCAAGGTTCCAGGCTGGTTACATCTGTGGAAATCAAGGTAGAATACATGGTCCCTCAAGATGTGGGTATGGATCAATACCTATAAATACCATTTTTAGGGAGATGAACATCCATTTACCAGCTATTTTGATGTTCACCAGGGGTACAAGGTTTTGACACACTGCCATGTAACTACTGGTTGTTCCACTGGTGGTTTCACATATTGATGTTCGACCACGGGATGATGATCCCTACGCTTTTTTTCCGCCAAGGTTCATCCAACAGAAGGGCAACGAATTGACCGCGCACAACACCGGGCCGCTACAGGAGGCCCAGATGCTGATGCAACAGAAGTGGGACCTGGGACCATTGAGGTGTGGATTTATATAGAAAGGACCATCATTCTTTGAATGATTAAATGGTGTGATTTGGTTTGGGCTGAAAGATATTGAAAGACAGCAAATCAGGGCTTTGAGAGCTTGCTCTGCCAAAACATGTTCATCCTTTTTGTGAGCTGTAGATACAGACAGAGTAGCTGGTGGAATGTGGGACAACTCAATCTATTTTGCTGCCTTGTAGATGTGACTGGGACAAGCCATTGAATAAGGATAGAGCCCCAACAATCCATGATGGAGCCGACAGGCGAAAGCAGAAATCAACAAGCTGCGGCCGAAGGCCTGTACATTGCACTCAAACCGTGTCCATAAGACGCAGGTATTTAGGTGACAATAGAGTGATAGAGCAGTGATAGAGCAGTGATAGAGCAGTGATAGAGTGACCGGTTGGTGACAAAATTTTCTTGACTTTCCATCGTACCTGAGATGATAGAAACCACTAAGCAGTTGAATATATTATATGTTAGTCCAATCAAGGACAAAACCTATCAGCTTGTTCTTGCAGTCGTGTTGGATAAGTTGCAAACAGATTTGCACCGATAGACATGATGTTGGCCTGAAAGGCATCAGGCATCAGGGTCTAACGGAGAGATTTCAGCGATCATGTCTCAGGCACAGGCTCATGCGGCCGAGCTTCAAAAGCTCAAGACAAAAGTATCAAACTCAGTGGAAGACTTCGCAGGATGGAAAGATGGATAAAACCACACCGAAGTCCATTCATGCAAACAGACACATGTAGTCATACGTGACAGACACATGTAGTCATATATGATCATATATGTATAATGAATGTACTGCATACACATATTAATACACAACTATGTTCAACCTTCAAATGGTGCCGCAGGATGTCCTTCTCCAAGAGTAGTTGGAAAACAAAGACAAGAGATGGGACCATGCGCTTGTTGATTCGACTAACACTTTAGCTACGTCTGGCAGTGGCTTTTCACCGGCCGTTTCCGTGGGGTCTGGCATCGGAGCTCTAGGTCGTAGCCGCCAAGAAGGACTTTGCCAAGGCTGAAGCTGCAGAGAAGACTGCGCACATCGAGGCTAAATCTCCGGTCAACTAGTTGTCAACTGGATGTCAGAATCCTTGTTGCATTCCAAGTTAAACTGAACACCACAGATGTTTTGGGTTTTTTGGGAACCCACTTTTGGTACCTTTTAGTTAGTTTCAGTGCATACCGGTTCTCAGTTGTGTTGGCAACTCTCCCCGGTTTGAAAGCATTTGATAGGGTTAATTGTTTGCACGCGAAAGAAAGGGCACATCGTGCCATCTTCGATGCAGATCTTGTTATTCATGTTGTTTGCAAGCTTCGTAATTAACCTCATTTCTGACCATTGACGTGAACGCTCTCCATTTTTGTTGGGGACGTGCCCGCATTTGTTCAATGCCAATGGTTGTTGGTAGAGACTCCAAAATATGCTTTGGCTAGTCATATCCTTATCCTTCATAGGACTTTTGCACTAGTTGTTTTGACAGACTCAAACCTTGGCATAACTAGCTGGATCTAGCTGGATTGCATTGGTTAAACCAGACTTGGGGGTTTCCATAAATGGGGGATCCCCAAAATGGATGGTTTATAATGGAAAATCCATGAAAATCCCATTCAAATGGATGATTTGGGGGTACACCCATTTTAGGAAACCTCCATTTGTTGGTTCGTGAAAAACTAATCTCCCCAAAATCAAGGGCTTGGTCATCTTTTTTGCCGGGGATAGTGGGGGGTTAAAACCCTCCAGCAAACCAAACTAGCAATGGACCTCTCCAAATTTTATCCCTTTTATGGATTATTTTCTCAACAGCAAACAAAGGGCTTTTTAAATATTTGTGATCTTTCTGCTTGTACATCTTTCGACTTTGGTACTGGCAAATTCACCAGCATCTGTGAACATATAAACCAACGGCTTTTACCTTCCGACTTCACATAGACCCAAATAGGGTTTGGAAGATTTGACTCAGGATTTTCCCAACATTTGTTGGTGTTCCCAAGACCTTTTAGACCATGACCCTAGATGAGAGGATCATGGTTTTCCCAGCTCCTGCCATACTCCAGGCCAAGGAGCGGAAGGAGGCCGAGGCGATCCTGAAGGACTGCAACGGCCAGGTGGATGCGGCAGAGGCGTGGCGTGGGAACAGTCGATGCGGGGGTTGTCTGGGGGATCCCCAAAACCATAGGTTTGAATATAGAAATTCTCTGATTTTAATAGATGATAAAAATGTGGTTCCATTTTTGGAAACCTCCTAATCTGGACTTCCATGGTTGAGAACATGAACATCATATGTTTCCAGATTGAGAACCTTATACCATTTTAATGGAATTCCCCATTGCTGGAGAAACCCAAGGTGAAGCCACCGCTCCCAAAAAACTGACGCGGGAAGACGATCAGATTCCCTAGGTACCCTACAAGGTGGTGCCCCATAGTTAGCTAAGTTGGTGCCAATAACTCCAATAACTATGGTTTATGGGTGATATAACGAACTAGTTAATGGGGTGTATAAACCAACTTATAACTGGGGGACACCATCCTGTAGGTATCCTAATATTATCCGAAATATAGCTGGTATAGCTGAATGTTTATTCCCCCAGTCATATGGTGAGGTTTCCCAGCTGGTTTTGGATCACCTGCTGGGCCTGCTGGGTGGTTTTCTTGAGGGATTTTCCATCAGGCCCGCAGCAACCAGATCAGCTCCAGTGCTGAAGCTTTGCTGGCTTCCAAGGCCAGGTTCTCCACCGTCATTTGATGTTGTTTTGTGGTAGATTTCACATCTGTTGAGGAAAATTATGTCATTTGTTAAAACCCCAACATAGATGTTTTTTTATCTCCTCTTGTTCTTAGCGAGTTTTTGGAGTAGAACAAATGTTTTGAGCTAAAGCCATATAATGTGGAGTTTTCAACGTGGGAGATGTGAAGCAACTAATATATGGGCAGATCCATCAAGTATAGGGGGATTTGAAAGAAGTAGGGGTCCCCTTTGGGTACACAATGGGATGATTGAAGATCCCAAAACTGACCGTTCCATTGGCGGTCCACTGGGCCTTAGACTTTGATACCCCTTTCGAAGCCGCAGATAGGGATCATATAGGTATGGATCAATACCTATTAATACCATTTTTAGTGGGATGAACATCCATTTACCAGCTATTTTGATGTTCACCGGGGTACAAGGTTTTGACACATAGCCATATAGGTACGAGTCAAACACCAAGAAGTTGAACTTATTGCTTCTTGAGTCTGAACTTCCACCGCCATCACCTTGAATCCCAATAAAATCGCACTCAATTTGAGTCGTCCGTCAAGCCTCAGACTCCAGGGCGAAGATGTGTTGAAGTTTGAGACACCATCCAGTGTGCTGGAGGTGGGCCAATGATGGACTTCGCTGTGATTGAAGAAAGGGGGAAGGATCACAGAAATCAAGTGATTGGTTCAATATTGTTGAGAACGATCATTTGATTATATATATATACATCAATCATTGTTGATCATGATCATTTGATCATACCGTCAATCATTGTTGATCCAGCTTGTAGCATTCCGCCCATAGACTTCTCTGCAGGAGGTGGAAAAGATGGTGCCAGAGGCTGCATCAGTTTGCAACAAGGCCACTTCCGTTGCGGGGAGAATCAGCTAGATCAGTGCTGGGACCTGAACAACATGTAGTTTAGCCAGGAACGGTGCCAACTCACACTGTTTTGCGAAGATTTTCAGACCAACTGCCCCCCCAAAAAAGGCTTCAAGCAGCACGTTTAGGCGTCCTGATCTGAATTCGTGGTGGCGTGTTGGTGGATTTTGTTGGCAGGTGAAGACCCACCTTATGGAGGAAATCAAGAAGATCAAGGTTGGGATCCAGAAGTAATGGCAGGTTGGGAGGTTCCGCAAACGCCTCAGGCGTTTGATGATTGGTGTTCATACTCACAGCATCAGGACATATCAGATATATCAGGACATACCACAGCAGATCATGGCACCCTTTTTGGGTTTTTAATGTACATGGACAGAGCTTCTTCCCCTGAAGGCTGCGAAAGGACCCCTGGCAGAGGTGCACATGGACAAATTGGGGACCGTGGGGGTCCGTCCCCTGCCATGTTTGATGAATGCAGCAGGTAGAGGCTAGAGGTCAATCCCCCAAAGGTTGCGACGGCCATTTCATCTTTGAGTTCGATCGGATCATTCTGGCATAGAACATTATGGTAACCCATTATATGAAATTATGCTAAGTTCCAGACCCTTGCGGAATGTTTCCTGTTCTTTTGGTACAACCACTGTGCAATGAGGTCTCACCACATCCCCGGGGCTGTGGGTTTTGACCCAGGCGAAGAAGGAGTTGACCAAGCTCACCGGAAAGGCCCTTGGTTCCGCTGCGTGAAAGCTTGAGGATTCGCCTGACGATCATGGCATGCGGGGGCAAGCCGTCTCCCATAGAAGCCGCAGATGAACAGCATGAGAGATGAATACAGATACGTCTAAGATATGAACAGATGTTCTGAAATGGGAGCGCGGACATGTTGATAGGTTGAGTCCTTTGTGAAGAAGAATGCTCATACGCTTCAGGTGTGGAGAGGGGGTTGTCATTCTGTAGAGCCACTGTTATTCAGACCATTGCACTGCTACATCCGGTCCTATTGCCAAACTTCGGATTTTAGCTCCATCTTGTACCCATATCGTCATTCACTTGCTGGTTTTACCGATCTTGCCTCTAAGGCATTGATTCAATGCGGCAAATCATGTAAAATCACGGAGACAGGATTTTCTATTGCGATCTTAGCTTGCAGACGGAATCAGAAAGGTCATACGAAGCCGGTCACAGGTAGACCCAGGTATTCTTCTGCAAATACGACCATTCTGATTCTGTCAGTTCAATACCGTCTGGCTAGCTGTTCTCAACTCAATTCTTCTGGTATGTTTTCGTGGTTACTTTTCCAACTTTTCATTGGTATTAGACAATTAATATCAGTTGTAGGCCCTCCAGCCTTGCTCGTTCTTTCAAAGGAATATCATCTACAAATGAAATCCTGTAACCCCAACATCACACAACATGACAACATCACAACAAATCCCATCAAATCCCGGAAATGAGTTGCATCTCCTGATTGCTTGGTGACAAGATGGCTTTGTCCACAGCTGCCCCAAATTCCAGTCCTTTGTGATCAGTTTCCCTACTCAAACACTCTTTTTTGGGGGTATATGGTATACACCACTTTCAGACACGCCCAAATAGGGCAAATCCGATTAAACATATGAATTAGCTCAATCACCATTTGTTGCTGGTTTAACTATGTTTAACTCACCATTTATTGTTGGTTAAATCACATGTGAATCATTGCATGGTTGGTTGGTACCGTGTATATCACATTTTCTAAGAAACAATCAATGTGATATATATATAATATTATATAATCATATTTATTGTTTCTAATAAATCCATATACGCAGTATATACCACATATACGCACTACATCCCCATTTTGGTTGGACAAGAATCCACCCATGTCAGGTACCAAACCCACTATATTTCCAATGGTTGCCGTTTTTCCCCATCAACCATCCCTATCAAAAAGTCTCCATCCAAATCCCCATATAACCCCAAATGGCACTGGGTCAAAACCACCGAAAACCCATAGTTTGGGGGTTACTGTATTCACATCCATTTGCATCCGCGCAATTTCCAGAACAGGTTCGGGTACCGTGAACTGACCCATAGTGAACATGGGATCCCCATCCTCTTTGTCGCAATGACGAGAACATCCGAATGATAGCATGCTTAAAATCCTATTCATATTCATCTTCCATATTTTTTGGGAGTTAAATCAAGTTAAATCCCCGGTTTTTTCCAGTTAAATCATGAAATCCCCAGATTTTCCATGGTTTCGGCCTCCATACATCACTGGAGGCCGTGAAGGCGGCCTGCAAGAGCATCTCCGAGGCGGGCGCCGTCAAGGCCTCTGCGGCCCTGCGGGCAGAGGCGCGCCATGGAAGCCATGGTGATCTCCCATAGCTTTTTGTATGTTTAGATTCAAATAGATTCAATGGATTGGTTTAAGGGAAAATTTACAGGAAAACCCCATATTTAATGGGAAAATCGATGGTTTCCTGTAGATTTTCCCTTAAACCAATCCATTGATAGATGGTAGAATACTGAAACCACGACGACATGTTTTTCTGAAGTCTGGTTTGAACTGTTTTCAAAGATATCATAGAAATGCCTTGTACTGTAACTTTCGAATATTTAAAAGTTGAGCTAAGAATGATCCAATCATGTCCAAACAAGAAATGGGTACAGCTTCAATGATGCCACATACAATGTGTACCCAAAAAGATTGAAAGCAGACACAATGATGGCCCCCACGCAAACCCGCAGTTCAGGGTGCTTCTGACCGCACCATTTGCCGAGAAGCCCTGCAGGTTCACCAGAAGGGCATGACCTTCGACGCCTTCTTTGCGGAATTGGCTGAAGGTGGTTCCATCAAGCACGAGGCTCTGTGCAAACGTCTGGACCTCGGTTTTAGGAGCCAACACAGCCCGTAGGGCCACCTCAACTGCCAAAGATGTTGCGTTTTTTAAAATGAGATGACCATAGATGACCTGTTTATGTTATCATTATCCATGATTGGAATCCCTATTACGCAGCCAGTTGCCCTCCGGCAACGAAAATCATCGAACTAAATGGGGACTTTCCAGCTAGACATGATTAATCACCGAAGGATAATGAGGGTATTTTTATGATATGGGTATAATTCGTCCCATACACAATGATCTTAAATGGGATATCACATGATATCAACACTATCCACTCTTGGAATCCCGAAAGCAACCAGCCAGTATACCCTCTGGGAATCAAGCATTGCTAACACATCTCCCATTTCGATGATTTTCCTACTCCATTTATAGTGGATTTTCCATGATGTTCCAACATTTTCCAATGACATTCCCATAGTTTTCCCGGATTTCATCGGAATTGTTGAATTGATCGGAGATTTCCCACATGTCACGATGTCAACGCCATGTTTTGCGCCCAGGTTTGCTGAGCTTGGACCTGGGACTGTCCGAGGAGCATGCCAAGTTGGTGTGCCGCAAAGTGGAGGCCCGGGAGGCTTCGGAGCATGCTAAATCGCTGGGGATTTATGGCATCTCAAAAAATCATCAAAAATCATAAAATATACGTTACGTATGTTATATGGTGGAATGTCGGGTATAATCAGGATTAATCAGGTATACATTTTGAAGATATCTCTAAATTATACATTTTGATCCGCCCATTTGACTCATTTTGGTCCCACTCTTGAGATGCCCAAGATACGTATGTTGTCAACTGCTGGAGCTGAGAAAAAGATGGGGATGATGTACTACACAATCCCACCCCCCTGACATTGAACGCACCCTGTGTGTAAAATCCCTACTATGATTTCTGAGGCGTGTTTAATGTCAGGTTGGGATTCGTGATATATAATGATGACAAGTGATGACGATTGGAATCCCCATTAAACTGTGTCAATCCTTTTGCAGAGGCCGAAACAAGGCCTGATCTCGCACCAGCGGGAACACCAAGTTCCTGCCTGCTCCACCCAAAGGTTGTAGTACCCAGAATTTTTCGGGCTTCACAAGCCCTTAACATATGGATGATGGTGGTTCAAAATCCTAAAGCAGAGGGGTACTCCTCCAATAGTCATAATCCAATACTTAAATGGTACCCCCCCAATTAACCAGCCTAGGGGTTTATTAATCCAGGGTTGACATTAATTCTTATTGGTTTGACACACCGTAAAGATGCAGGGGCGATGGCTGTTAAGTTATGGTGGTCGATCATTCCCCCGAAGAAGTGCTGCCAGGCCGGCACCATCGGAAAGCGAGCATTCCAAGCTTTTGTGCAGCGCTACTACTCGGTGACCACGGTCAGGGAGCTCAGGGCAGTCTGAAATGGTGGGTGAATGCTAACACTTCCCGATTTGGGTATGAACATGGAGTATACCCCCCGAAAACGGCAATTTGAAGTGGGCAAAATGACCGAGATGATGGGTATGGATTTCCATCAGCATCAGAGCCCTGAGTACCTGAGATTTTGGTCACTTTACTTCCAATTTCTGCGTATATCTCCATTTATTGTTGGGTGTATCGCTGTATCCTCATTTCTTGTTGGTTCCTCAGGTCAAGTACCTTTCAGCAGTATACCGTCCCAGATTTTTGCTTCCCAAGTTCGACGGAACGACTACAGGCAATTGCCATCACCACAGAGTTTGAGATCAGCAAAGCCAAAACCATCCGAAAGGCCGCAGGGATGTCAAAACCGTGCTGCAGGTCATGCCTTGAAATTTCAATTTGGAGTTTCACAACAGTTGAAGCGATTGTCAATGAATTCTGATTGATGATTTTTTCACACTCGACAACGCGCCTAAATCAAGCGTGTGTTTTCTGAGCATGCCGTTGGATAGTTATGGACAGATAGACTGGATAGTGATGGATAGCTATAGTAACTGGATAGTTTCTATAGATAGTTTTCATATGTTTTCATGGTCTTTCGAAGATGATTCCAACATTTTTCCCGCTGATTTCCAGGCAGAGGTGGAAGAAATGTTTGAAGTTCTCGAGGCCAGTGGCCCATCGACCTCGACTTGATGGGATCTCATGGTATCCCATGGTATCGCAAAGTCCTAGCCAGAATCAACGAGATGAAATGAGAAGAAACAACAACCCAGTGTTTTTTCTTCAGCAACAGTAGTGAACCTTCAAACACCCAAGGATTTGCCCAACAGCAAGTGGTGATCCAAAGTGTGGCAATGGCTCCAGCACCTGTTTGCATCAGTTTTTTCATGGGTTCATTCCATAGGGTCCTTTAACAGATAGAACTAACAGTAAAATCCTACTAGACTCGATTAGATTATACTTTGACTTTTCTATTTTTTTTAAAAAAATGGGTTTACTAATCAAAAGTTATGACCATATTGGGTGATACCACGGTGATACCTGTGCCAGGGACCCAAATCCGACGAGAAGCTCAGCCTCACACGTGTCCGTGGCAGGCCTCTGAGAGAATCTTGGGGATCACGGCACATCATCGGCTGCAGAGCTGGAGCATCAATGGTGGTTTAATGGGTCATGTGGCTTCAATGATGGTTAGATCATGTTAGATCTGGGCAAAATCAAGACCCATACCAGGTGCCATACCATATGGCTGGTGGATGATCAGCCGGAAGCAACACCATCTTGGCAGGTCGTTGGCTGACGGCACGGAGGGATGGCTGAGTATCAAGGGCAACCAGGC